ATAATAAGGGACTTTAAAAGGGACAGCTGTCTGCTGTATAATATGCCACAAAGGTTAATAATTAGCAGTGGAGCTGGAAGACATCTAGCTCTTTAACTTATTATAACATAACAACAGTTCAGGCAGAAAGATTATGTATTTGCGATATTTAAACGATTATTAATTGAATAAAAGGTGACCGACAAATAATAGTACTCAGTGCTATGAAGGTATAACAGTAAACAGACATAATATATTTATATCACCAACACTCAACACTGTGCTAAACTTTATAATATACCGTTATACCATTTTAAATGTATTAGTAGCCGTAATCATCTGAATTCTTTGAGTAATTTGGAAATGTCTCATTTATATATTATATTTATATATTATATTTAATTCACCAACTATGATTTTATATTCCGAACCCTGGTTGTAAACTATATAAATCCGGTCAGCCTCTATAATAGTTCAATCACTTTTAATTCGACCGCTCCTCTTTGCTTGGATGACTGGACGTCTTACAATCTTAATACATGTTAAACTCCTCTCCCCATTCACGCACGGACTACTTATGTTGCGTAGCGTTAGAGAACCAAAACCAATCATGTGGCCTCAAAGTCAAAGATTGTCCAATCACATTTCAAGGTTGTCATGTCTTTGGTGAATAACACATAATCCATCGAATTATCTGGGTTTTCGCATTTCACACTATACTAGTAGCTTACTTTAACGTAATGAACCAATTTTATTGTTTAACTATTTATGACGCCTAGCTAACCTGGGTACCGAGTAGATCCCAGAAATACCATGTGCTCCAGGTAGTGCATGAGGCCTGGTACCTCTGGCGGATTCACCCAGCTGAAAAAGAACCGTGTTACTGTTAGATAATAATTGAGTAAGGGGCCAGGGGCCGTTAACATATTACTTGAGCCAGATAGTGACCTTTACAGACGTCAGACCCCATTTCACTGATATAGAATAGCTATAATTGTAAAAAACAACAAAGCTTTTTCAAACCCCCTCTCCTTCGGCTTACGTAATATATGAAAATGGTCCATAACAAACCAGCAAACCTCGTACAAGGTTCATTGGATTAGCATTCGTGCTCTATAGAGGAAAGAGTGTGTCTTCCTTGAACAAAGCATTTCATTTTTACTTTGCTCAGTTAAACTCTTCTGAGTCTTCGGGTATATCATGCTCGTTAGTACTTTTTGGACGTTTTAAAATGGTTATGATTACATAACATGTAATTTCTGTAATTTTGCAAAAAAACATTGGTATGAATCTTAACCGTTTAACCAATATTTTGGTATGACCATCACAGATAATGAGATAAAGACTGATTTTTCGATATTTTGATGTTCTTGTTACATGTAATTAAATAAGCAATTTTCAATGAAAAAGTCTGCGATTTTCAATTATGTCTTTTGTAGCTGCACGCCTAGATTGCAGTCGAGCCTTGGTCTGGACTAGTTTTACCTGCCAGCCCCCCCCCCCCCCCGGCCCCTTTGACTAGTAGTAGTGTTACCTGCCAGCTTGTATTCTGAGGTTAACTGCAGAATGTTCCGTCTCAGGATCTGAAACCAATGTTACTCGTATCTTGTTAGCTAGAGTAATGGGCTTGTACTGTCTACTGTCCCGATCTCCTCGAACAACTGAATTAATGTTATTATTTGTTTGTTAATTATTTGTTATTATTAATTTTTTGTTTATTAATTTTTGTTTATCAATTATTTGTTTATCGATATTATATTCTCCAAGTGGTGAACGATATTTGTTGAGCTTTTTAACAATAAGTTGTATTTTGCTGACTGATCAGCAAATTATTACCAATTTTGGGTAACACCAAATAATTTGATAGCTCCTGCAAGACGCAAGTAAACCAACGAAGCGCAACAGAGAAGACACGAAAATTTACGTTTATACTCTTGTGATGATGGGTCTAGTCAAGTCTGCTTTACCGTCGGATGGTTTGCCGTATACTTCTAGTGTCCCTACCACCGTCCCTACTACTGTACCTACAACTACTGTCTCTACTACCGCTAATACTACTAAGCCTGCGATAACTCCCCAACGACAAGATATTACACCGGTTAACCCTGAGACGACAAGTCCTGATGATGATGAACCAGAAGAAAGTAACAGTTCTGTTACGCCAACAAGGAGTGGTTTCTTTTTACTGTTCTTACTTACAGCGAAAGCGTTTTTTCGAGCCAGTTTCAATAACTAGTGATTCGTAAAAGAAACACTGTCTTCTATAAAATTGCTCCCTATAAAAATTGCATTTCTTTTAAACATCTAAATCGGAACAGGAGCGATTGTCATCTCAACTCTCAAGTTTGGGCTTTTTTAAATGAACACAATTAGAAAACTTCACTCTTGGACAGGAAGAGTATTAATACTTTAATACTCCTCACTGCTCGAACAACTTTAGTACTTTAAATCGATCGATTTATTGATTAGTAATTAATATCACATTATCATTATCATTACTAAGTGTTATAACTCTTTTCTGTGAGTATCAAAAACGTCAAAAAGGCTCGAATTATATGAGCTGAGCAAGATTTATTTTGTTAAGACAAAAACATGGTTCTAACTAGTTTAACTCATGTAACCATGAAAAAAGCAAATGCATCCTTAAATGATAAAGCCTAAAATTATGAAAATGTGTGTTCTAATTAGTGTCTATTGAAAGATCATTCGCAATAATGCAAAGTATTTATTAGATGATTTTTAATATTTTTACTATTCAAAATCAAACTCCAGTCCAGACTATATAATGACGCAAAATCGTATGCAGAAAAGCACGATTCGATTGTGAATCATAAATTATTAAAAGTAAAAGTGAAACCAACGCCAAGTTTAAATTTTCTGAATACTCCAGTCTCCAACGTGAATCAACAGTTCGTAAGCACGTACTTCGCGATAAGGTCACTATTAGTATTTATGCTCGATATAAAAAGCAAAAGTAAGCTTTTGATTTTCGATCGTTTGTTTAAAAAGAAAAGCACGATTCGATTGTGAATCATAAATTAACGTCAGTTGTTAGTTTGATCTAAATGGAAATTGAAAGGCCCTTTCAAAGTACAACGTCCAGAAGCCGAGATACAGTCATATATTTGAGAGGGTAATTTAGAAATTTTGCCCCTAAGCTTGGAACTACTAAGAGAAATTACGTACCTTATCAATTCTGATCCAGAATGACCTTGCCTTACCAAGGACCATGTGTTCAGAAAAGTTGTAGACACCGTACTGCACAGTGGCGTAACGAAAGGCCCTGCTGACCCCGCTGTGCAGGGGGGCGCCGTCTTAGGGGGCGCCAAATCGTCGTTTGAATGTGGGACAATTTCGAAAACTTAACTAAAGTACTAGCAAAACTGCGCGTTTTGCTCTAGATACACACTTTTTTAGAGATTTTACTGGCGTATTCTCTAAAATCACCTAATTTGTTCAATTTTAGGGAGGGGCACCAAAAGGGGAGGGGGCGCCAACAGGGGGGCGCTTTTTTCGGCAGGGGGGCGCCAACAGGCAACGTTACGCCACTGGTACTGCATACTCGATTTCACTTAACTTCTACTTCTAGAGTAGATATTTTACTCGCACCCCAGTGAAAATAAAGTTTTTTACCAAAAGTAAGCATTTGGGCCTTTATAACATTCATAGTGCCTGTATAAACATGTCCATTGCGTCATTTTAAGCTTAACTTTGAGTCTCTGAGACCTTTAGAAACTGAGATACGAATTTCCCATATACTCATATACACGCTTAATATCAAATATGAAATATGGGAGTGGCTCCACAGGGTTGGTACTAGCGACACAACATGCGGCCCTCGGTGATTTGAGTAACAAATGACATATTTAACCCGATTCAGTAGCAAAAAACTCTATGCAGTGAAGTGCACACTGAACCCCTCCCTGCTACTGGAGTAATACCAGAAAATGAAACCAAGCCCGTCATTTCGGTCTTTAATGTTTAGCCACGAACGCGATCGAAATTATAATAGTTTGCGGTTGAAGTGTTGAACTGGCAATATAATTATAAGCAGAAACAAGAATGAATAATCCCCCTCTTGTGTAGTTGACGAGTAGGAATGAAAATTGAAAAAGAAGTACAGTATACTAATACATGATGCAGGTAATGTACCGAGACAGGTTGCCTTGTGTAACCCAGAATTCTCAAAAATTGGCAAAACCGGCAAGAAGCGTGTCAGAATAACGGAACAGTTAACGAAATGCAATGTACACACTACACGGATTTTTCAAACACTGAATGTGCCAGTCTCGAGTCATCGCGGCAGGACTCGCGTGTGGAGGGAGTTGGCGCGCGTCCAATTAGGACACAACATCTTGTCACGTGACAATAGCGCGTCCAATCAGAACAGTCTCGATTTACGCTGATAAGTGACGAATAGCTTATCTACCGACAGTTCGTTTCATCATCACTTGTTTGATAAACGCTTCCGATGATAATATAATAAGGGCCTGAGGTCGTGCCTGATCCAGGAGGGACTATACAGACAAAATTGAAAACTTTGTGAAACTACTGACTGGTTGCCTTTGTTGTGTGCATCCCGAAAAAGTGCTCATTTGTGATTTGACAAACAGGATCATAACATATCAAACAAGTGAAACATTTGGAATAGATTTAGAAGGACAAACGATTCCTTTCAAACGAAACGTTTGTCCTTCTATTGCAAATGGTTCACTTCAAACAAGTCTCATGTTATCTATGAATTATTCGCGGTAAATTCAATCATTTTAAAGTCGTGCTAAACCGCAAACAATAAATATCCTAGACTCACTTATTTCTTCATCGCCATCTGAAAGTTGATCAGTTAAGGGCGGTCTGCAGTAGTCAATCAGCATCGAGTAGAATATACTGAATAATAGTGTCACACAGTTCATCGACTCGAAAATCATTATAAGTAACTAACTAAATCAATAAAATTTAATAATAAAATGACAAATTAAAATTAATTACCAAATAGTTTGCATTCCGGTAGAGTCCCGTAATTATACCGAGTACCACCCACACACTCTACCACACTGTCACCCATGTTCAACAAGGAGTCTCCTTGGCAACTCAGAGAAACTGTCTGTCCCGGACTCACGGAATCGGACTGGTTGGTCGTTAGATTGGGGTCCCAGGTGAAAGGAAGTCCGGTACAGACTCCTGAAACAGTTGGTTTGTGTACTGTGTTATTTTACTGCTGAGAGGTAGTAAGAGTCTTTTTGGTTTAGAGCTTATTGGCCCATAGTTTGTGAGGTGTTCGTTATTTATTATTTTGATAATCAAACTTTGGTGCTAATCTAACCTTGTTTCGGAGATTTGGATTTATTAGTTGCAACAACGCCAGCTACTGTTGCTATGACAACGAGCATCGCCACCACACCTATTCCTATCATGTGTCTTGTACTCAACTTCTGACTGGTTACCATTTTGAGGTGGCTGGAACACATAAATTGTTAATATCTGTTCTAGTTGTGTGATAACAAATGGGAGACTGTCGAATAACAGGCAAAAATATGAAAGGTCTGATAATGTTCTCTCGATTGGCTATTTCGGCGACATCCATGATAAAGTGTAAAGTGTTTAAGTTGCCAGGACGACGTGAATTATAGCAGCCCGTATTTATAAATAAAGAATAGCATCTGCAAAACAATCATTATCATACTGTTATTCGATCCATTGCATTCAACGGTCGAGGAGTCTAAATTCCAGCAGAACCCAAGAAGTCTGACATAGGTCCATATCACAATTAGCATTCACGTATAACTACAGGGTGGGCCAAAAGTCAGTGTGCAAACGTTGGGTCTTATACCTCCGCCGTGTTTTATATTTGAGAGCTGTTGCTTTGCAGATGGCATACTGTACTTACTGGTTCGAGGATTCCGTCGTCAAAATTTGAAAATTCGAATATCTTATACCACGCCCATTCAATATTAAAACACCTATATTGTTTTCTCTGAACATGCTGAACGCCTAATTTTTTCAGAGACGGTAGATTACCAAATGTTGCATATGATCTAAAAACATGAGGCAAAACGGATTAGAAATGACGAAGTTATTAAGCATTTTGTGTATCTCGTTAACAAAATTGACTGGGTGATTATGTGACACCGTGACACGACACCTTAATTGGGCACCCTTAACAATTCCCATAATGTTTAACGGGGTAGTTAACGGAGTCACCTTATCACGTGATTAGGTAAACCAATCACCTGATCACACGTAATGAATAAACTCGTTATGCTTCATATCTCGGTCATCTGAGAAGCTACAGTTCTAATTCTTTCAGGACAAACGTAATTCGAATGGCCAAACACAATTCAATAACATTTAGCTTGATCCGACTATCCAAACTATCAAATAAATGTGAAAATGAACCTCCATTTGAAAAAAATGAACGCGAATATTTTTCGAGTTGACAAATTCCTCGAACCAGTGGTGGTACTAAGTCATACCAGAAGGAAGTATTTCAATTGGGCACTCAGTGACTGAGCTATTAAGGCCAACGTTTGCACACTGACTTTTGGCCCACCCTGTATACTGCAGCTTGACAGAAAATCATTGTATGTTGATTACTGGATCGGGACTATAAACTTTAATGTAATTGAGCCTATTAGAAAAGAGATATCACAGTTCAATTAAAATTTTACGGACAAGAGATAACAGTGGTTGTAATTTTAGAAGTGGATGTTTTTTAGGGCTATAATACAGTGTGGTTGTTATTTGAATTAATTAATTGATGTTGCAGTGGTGGTGATGAACAGCTTGGCAGATACCTGGTCTAGTAATCACCTTATTTTAAATCGGTACATCTTCCGAATGAGTATACGGCCAAAGTACTGGAAAAGGATGATTAAGACTTTGTCTGTAAATCCATTTGAGGACCTAAGTAGCCGCACGATAGAACTTAGAGCATGTGTTGGTTTTAAAACAGGAAGAAACCTTGGAATGAGATGAACGATATGGAGTCTACAGATGCTGAAGGAAGTTATGCTTAGAATAAGTTAGAAATTTGATATGGGAGGGAAGTGGTAGTAGGTTCTCTGGAGACTGTACTTCCGGAAAGGCAGTGCAGGCAGCTATAGATATAGTGGAACAACCCTCTGAAAAATACAGTCAGGAACTTAAATACACTACAGTCTACACTATTTGAGTACATGGGCCATGGGTCGTGGGAAAAGAAATTGGGTGTTACAGTAACACCCAATTTCTTGAGTAACAGTCACTGTTACTCAAAACAAGCACAGATAGTTTCCTACTTGACTTACAGACTACTGCAGAGTACATTACATTTCTAACTAAGTACCAAATTATCATTGTAACGATATATTGATAATCATCCTTATTTTTCTTTAACAACATTAACAGGGCCTCTAATTAGTCATAATAAATTGGATATTGTGGAGAATGGGGAACCCCTCTTGAGCTCTTGATCACAGCCTTCCGAGATTGTTTGTTTTTTTTTTTCAATAAAATATACTCCATGTAAGCATTACCCTAAGAGCTATTAGTGTAAATTGTTTTGATTTTAAGTCTGATCTACAAAATTTGTTTCTTATTCAAAAAAACGTAAAACGAGGTGAACTAAACAAATAATAAATCTGCTGTAGACGTTGAAGTGCGTGGAGTGAAAATGTCCAAAAATTGACTCCTTTTCTAACCTGCCTGCGAAGATAAGGAAATGTAAGGAAATTAGATTAATATTCGTACCTGAAAAAAGATCCCACCGTCATTCTGACGTTAAAGTCCTCGCTGTATCACAAAACCAGACAACAAAATATATAAACTGCCAAGAACCAGATGTGTCGGTGCAAATATTTTAATATCACGCGGATTTTATTCGTCTTTAATTAAGGATTAAGTGATCATTCTTATCAGGTGCAAACCATTATACTTTGTTATTTCAGTATCACATCTCCATTTAAACAGTGAAATGTTTCATCGTTTTCCATCATCTCGTTAATTTCTTATCAAAAACGTGATGATTTGATCAACATTTTTCTGTGAGTGGTTAAATTTCTTCCCCCATTTTTTAATCGGATTATAGGTGTAAGGTGAGGTAGATTTGAATCACGAATTAAAGGAAAAACAATAATTAACTACAACACACTCAATGTGCTCAATTTATAATCATAAATACCGTCATTTACAATAACAATCTATGATAGAATTCTGATTGAACCTCTCTATATAATAAATCGCTAAGTTAAGGTTATACTTATCTGAATTTACAAATTTAAAGCATACTTTGACTAATCAATATTCTCAGCATTAAAAGATTGATGTTTCTTTATATTTTAGTTATTTTAGTGTAGATGAAACTTGTTTAGGTAATCATAGGCTTGTGAGCAAATTTTCTCTCAAAATCAAATCTGACATCTCTAAGTCACAAATATTAATCCCCTTAATCCTAGCAATTAGTTAAAAAAAGTTTAAATAAATATACAAATCTGAAGTCGCAATATACACACACACACACATCGCAATTTATACACTAGATAATTATCTCAATCTTGGTATTCTGATGACACTGTACAGTATGTGACATACAAGTAACAGTATTAAACAGTAACACGCCAGAATTGAGAAGTTGTCTGCTTTCAGTTCCACGGCGTTGGGGTACGCTTGTGCGAGGTATTTGTCTCCGGTAGCGTACGTGCAGTGTACTTCATTACTGTTGTACACGTCAATTAGTGGTGATTAGTGGTGATTATTTCGAACGAGTATTCAAAAATTCTCACCATCTTCCAGTTGACGAATGACTATAGTAATGATAATAGTTTATCACAGTTCAATTTGAGAAATTCTCGCAATCGAGAATTATTCCACTATTACAATTGACATTAATCACAATTGAAGATTATACACTAATTTCATACTTCGACTATATTTTTACTACATTATTAAAGTATAACTATACGTGCTCTGTATGTCAAGCTGTTAACTAAACCCCAGTACAATAATATACCTGCAGGTGAAGTTGAGTCCACCGAACTCGTTGGCAGCGAGAGTGGAGCTAGCGTAACGGTGCATTGAACCATAGCTCAGAAACTCGAATATTGGGTGGAGTGTCTTGAAATTCCTGGGGTGGGGTTCAAATATTTAAATTTTAGTATTAATGAGCCTTTTTTTGTCAGGATATTTAACTTTTTTTTAAAAATGTGCATAAAAAATGTTTACATTTTTTGAGTGTCACTGTTAAGGATATCAGTATCACACATGAGTCATGGCGTTGTCAATTATAATGTCAATGAGAAATGACCTGTGTCACTTTTCACTAATATCGTTGCAATTTACTAAATCGTCCTTCTTAAACATGTAATGACCTGATGAATCCAGATCCAACTGTTATTGACATGCTCATTATGAGGCTGATGACACCGTTAGCTAACACCGGATCACTTATCAATCCTGAGATTCTCAACGTTACTAATTACTTTTTGATTATAAGTTACTAAGTACTTGATTATAATCCATCTGGAAACTTCCGGATCGTCCTATGTTTTCAAAACGCATTATATTATTTGATGTTTTTATAATGGCAGGAGTTTGGACTAAAGATTGTTGATTGAAATGAACACAATTTGCTCACCAAGTATCATCACAGCAATTGACTCTCCCTGCAGCATCAGTATAAAGAATACCGCTATAAAATATATGAACCTCCCAGCGTCTGGATAGAAACCCATACCCCTGCAAAAAACATAACAAGGTTATAAACCAATAATTTGATATTGAACCTAACTAGGAATTGTAAGGTTTTGTCTCATGCTTCAAATTTAATTAGGATCTTGCAGTTTGGATCAAGCCAGAAAACTGATAAAATGTTACCCTTTTTTAGAAAATTCCTCCCATTTATCCTAGACACAAATGACGAGCAGTTTCTTATCTTTACTAAGTAAGTTACTAACCAGTAGCCTACGCTCCCGAAGAGGATGGAAGTGAAGAGTGTGAAGGGGAGGACGTGAAGAAAGTAAGATAGGATAAAGAGGGACGGGTGGTATAAACCGTCCATTGACTCCCGGTAAAACAGATCTCTTAATGTGGGAACTGGCGGGAAACGGCAATTAGATTCGGGAAACGAGTTAGTTGATTTGAAATAGTAAACATGACACATATGACCGTTTTCGTATTCACGAATCATGGCAATTGTGAAATGAAAGTTCTGGATCGAATTTATTTGTTTTGTCCGATTTTACAAAATAAAACTCTACTGAATTGGCAAGATTGGTGGAAGGATTACTTACAGAGATCGACCGCGTTCATGATGCCAAAGTATGTTGGACCGTTCACTATCTGAAACAACAGACCTATTCTATTCTGCATACCTGCTTGGTCGTTTTCTGAAATCATTATTGATCTAATCACTCTTTGATTGATGTAATAACGAATTAATCCATTTAAATTCAATCTCTTGACTAAAATAAGTCGTTGATAGCCAACATATTGTGTGAAGTATACCTTATGAAGCTTTATAATGTTCAGAAAGCAATCTAACTTATATAATATATAGGTAACTCACTGAGCCGAAGTATGAAGCCGAAAAGCATGATAGCGAACATGAGACCAACTGTGCTTCTCATCCCACACGCTCTGAAAGACCGTACCACGTTCACATTCATCCGACTGTGGGGGAGCAGAGTACTAGTATTAGAAATATTCTTATCGTATGGTTAGTTTTAAATGATTACTTTCAGGCAATAAATGGTTTGGCTTTTGTTAAATCTAATAATTTTTTTCGATAAAATAAAACTAACAAATGTATTAACTAGTCATGTAACAGTATATCTGGGGATACCATTCGTTACTCACTGAACAAGAAGCCCGAGTTTGTAGGTCAGTTCACAAGGAGAGAACTCATCAATCCAGGACACGTTCTCACTGTTCCTGAGCCCCAGCTCCCCCATCAGGGTCGTGTACAGTTGGGATCTCCGGTAGGCTTGTATCAGGTTCCTTAACTTCTCCTCGGTTGCTTCTTGGTTGTCTTTCGTGTATCTGTCCACGCTAACAACGTCGACTGTAATTAATTTAATTGGCTTAATAATAATTACCTAATCAATGTAATTTACCTTAACTTAGTACGTATTTCCTTGCTGGCTGTAGTATGCTGATCAAGTCTTGATACTCAATACTCATATTTTTTCATAAATATTACGATTTAAGAATAGGAATTGGTTCTGTTTCATGAGATCCGAGGCTTTAAAGCAACCAGAGTAAATCTCTAAAATACTGACTGTAGTGATCGAGAGGGTTCTGGAACTCAGGACAGGGGTACCCCAGCTCTGTGAAGTAGGGTATGAGGTCTACTCGTTTACCGTGGTACACCACATTTCCCACCGACATTAGGGTTACCATGTCGAAAAACTGGAACAGTTCTGATCTATAAGAGTGAGGGTCAGTTTTGAGTTAGGGATTATTTCTCAGCCAAGAAATGTGAGGTTAGCAGTCTACGAAAAATGAGGAGTTTTTCCGTCTACACAGCTCTATCTTATCAAAGCTTACCATGAATATTTATATGCACATTTTCTAATTAGGCCCCAAAGGTTTTGCTCTATTATGGGTTGACCTAGGATGCTGCAGATTCAACTCTGTACATTCAGACCGTCTGTGCGTGGTGAAGAGCCACATCCTGCTCGAGGTGGGGCTGCATGCAACTTCAGTGATGGAGTTGTAACTGAACACAGCGGATCTAGGGGTGCACCCCCGAAAAAAAGCCGGGCATCCTCAGAACAAGCTCGTGATGATGGTGATTTGGGTTAATTAAGATGTAACAGATTCCGGAACTATGGGAGCACCATCTGTCATCTTACCGTTTTATTTACTGTATGTGGGAACATCTACTGATGAAGTAGCTATCAAGGGAGCCATTCCAGTGGCGCAGGTGGCTCACGTGTCACATAGCCAACAGAAAAGAAACATGATGAATAGTTCTTACAGCACTAGGGTATCAGCCCCTACTTTTGTTTCTGGACGAGAAGGTGGCAATGATTTCACCAACTTAAATCCGAATGGAAGGTTGGTGAATGATGATCCTAATCAACCTGAAACACCCAACAGCATAAACGAAAACAACAAAAAAAGTTTATTTTCATGTACCGACATTACCTGGGTAGGCACTCTTAACACTAGAACGATAAGAACTGCCCAGAGGAAACTGGAGATGGTACATCTTTTCGAGAAGAGTGGAGCAGAGATTGTAGGTATCCAAGAGCACAGGATAATCCATGAAGAGCCTGTCAAAGTTGAGAGAGTTGGCAAGAGCAGCTATTTAATTACTTCATCGGCTACTAGGAATCGAGCCCAGGCAGCAGTGGGCGGAGTGGGATTCATCCTAACTAACAAGGCATTTGACGCAACTACGGAGATAACACCAGTGACGGAGAGAATCCTTAAGATATCTCTCAATGGGAATCCTAAACCAACCTTCGTCTGTGTCTACGGACCTACGGAGGCAGATAGTGTAGAAGCAGCAGAAAAGTTTCATACCGATCTAAGGTGTGCAGTCTCACAGATCCCTGCTCACAACTTCTTGGAGGTGATCGGGGATTTTAACGCTCACCTATCAAAGAGGGATGAGAATGACTTTGGTTGGTATTTCCATGAGAGAACCAACAGAAATGGGGAGCTGCTCCGGGATACTGCCCTTGAATGTAATCTGGAGATTACAAACACCAGGTTCAGAAAGAAGCGGGGTAAGATGTGGACTCACCTATCGGATGGAACCCTGAACAAGTCTCAGTTAGACTTTATTCTAGTGAGGAAGAAGTGGAGGAACAGTGTCAAAAACACTGAAGTCTACAGCTTCTTTAGTACACTGGGTACTGATCATAGACTTGTTTTGTCTAAGATCAAGCTATCTCTTCGACGAGCAAAAAAGCAACCCAAGAAAACCTGGTATAATTGGGGAGCACTAAAATCGGATGAAGACCTACAGAAGAGATACGCAGTGGAAGTGAGGAATCGGTACTCCGCTCTATGCGAGCAAACCGATGAAAGTGAGGTTACGGAACTGTATGGTCATTTTGTTGATGCGATTGCTGATACCAACAAAGCCATACTGCCTAAGAGAGAAAAGAAGAGCCGTGACGATTTCGCGGGTGATCAGCGAGTTCAAAACGTGCGTACAGCCTTGCAGCAAGCAGAGACTGTCTATCACCGGGATCCTAGTGAAGACAGTCGACTGTCTGTTAAGCTTCTAAAAACTGAACTGGATCAGGTGTACCAGGACATCTTTGAAGAAGATCTAGTTGCCAAGGTTAGAAGGGTCGAAATGGCTGCAGACAGATGCAAAAACAAAGAAAGTTGGAATGTCATAAATGAGATAACTGGCAGGAAGGCCAAGGGGGCAACTCAAATAAGGGGTAACGGAGCCGAAGAAAGAAAGGAAAATTGGCTTAGGCATTTCACGAATCTGTTAGGGAGTACACCGGATGTGGAAAACGAGCATCCTAGGATCGAGACTCAATTTGAAGGACTCAACATCAGTACAGAACCTTTTACTCTGGAGGAGCTTAAAGCTGCTAAACACAGGATAAAAGAAGGTAAAGCACCAGGTGATGACGGCATACCACCTGAAGTCCTCAAAAGATGCGACCTGGATGAAATTGTGCTGTCATTCTGCAACAAAGCCCTGACAGATGGTATTGCGCCAGATCAGTGGAGGATAAGTAACATCATCCCGGTCCCCAAAAAGGGAGACTTGACCAACCCTGGAAACTGGAGGGGGATATCTTTGACTTCTCTCGTAGCTAAGACTCTTAATAGAATGGTGCTTAATAGGATCCAGCCGGCTATAGAGGGGGTACTTAGGGACACTCAGAATGGTTTTCGGGAAGGACGGTCCACTACTAGTCATATCTTGGCACTCAGAAGGATTCTAGAGGGGGCTAGACAGAGAAATTTACCGGCAGCTATGGTGTTTGTTGATTTTAAGAAGGCCTTTGATTCACTTCACCGGGGGATTTTGATGCAAATACTAAAGGCCTATGGAATACCGGACAGTATTGTAGATATCATTAATCTTCTCTATGTCAACACAAAGGGCAAAGTTATAACACCAGATGGGGATACCGAGCTATTTGATATCCTGGCAGGAGTTCTTCAAGGGGATACATTAGCACCATACTTGTTCATTATAGCCCTTGACTATTGCATGAGACAAGCCTTAAGCAAGCATCCTGAAATAGGATTTACCATTAAGCCTTATCGGAGTAGGAGAGTCAAGGCGGAGAAGATAACAGACACTGGTTTTGCAGATGACATTGCTCTGATAGCAGATACTGTAAAGGAGGCAGAGATACTGATGCTAGAGGTAGAAAGAGTTGCTGCTACAGTGGGACTTAAAATGAATGAAGGGAAAACCAAATTCATTACTCAGAACATCGAGAACCCTGATACCATCAAGTCCCTGGGTAACAGCACAATAGAGCACGTGGAAGACTTTACCTATCTTGGTTCTAGAATCAGAGACAGTGAGAGTGATATCAGGGTTAGGAAAGGAAGAGCATGGGGAGCATGCCACACTCTCAAAAAACTTTGGAAATCTAACCTTAGAAAGTCTATCAAGACCAGAGTGTTCACAGCACTAGTCGAGTCGGTGCTTCTATACGGTTCTGAGACTTGGACTATGACGAAAAGGCTAGAGAAGATGGTTGATGGTTGCTATACACGAATGTTAAGAATGGCCCTTAACATCAATCAATATCGAGACCATGTCAGCAACCACAGTCTGTACGGTGATCTTCCCAAAGTCAGCTCCAAGATAACCCAACGAAGGCTCAGACTTGCAGGTCATGCTCACCGACATCCGGAGCTGACACTGAACAAACTGATCCTCTGGAAGCCGAGTCATGGACATACTAACAGGGGGCGACCTTACTTAACACTACTAGATAACCTAAAAGCAGATACTGGGCTGAAATCAGTAGATGAGATAGCTAGACTGATGGAGGACAGAAAGCTGTGGAGAACTGTTGTCAATGGATCTCGGGAATACTACCCGCCTTAAGTCAAGTAAGTAAGTCACATTTTCTAATCTACCTGGGCTGGTGGATGGTTGCTATGACAACAATGTTCTTCTTGGATAGACGAGACAGTGTCTCCATAAGGTTGTAAGCGTTGAAACTGTCCAGCCCAGTAGTAGGCTCATCCAACAACAGTATGTCTGAATAATAATCTTGGTTTTAAGAGATTTTAGAACACTGTGTAATATAGTTCAGTCAGTTTGAAGAAATATTTTTAAAAGGGAATAGAAATTCTAGGTGAGACGGTATTATATATGTACATTTTAACAACAAGTGCACTATATCTATAATTATAGTTTAATTATGACCAATGATAACTGAGCGAAATCTAACTATTACTAGAAATAAGACATACTAACGAGTGAACTTGATGAGCTGGCAGGCTATCGAGAGTCTCCTCCTCTCCCCTCCACTAATCCCTCTCACCAGACCATCTCCCACTTTGCTCTTCTTCACGTGCATCAGTCCCAGCTCGTCCAGCACTTCTGATACCTGGCATATTGAGAAAGTGAAACATTTATGATACCTGGCATATTGAGAAAGTGAAATTCCAGTTGAGGATGGAGGGGGATTAGGAGGGAAGTTGGTCGTTTAGCTCCGGACAGTCTATGCAACGTCTATGCAACGTCCGTGCAACAACAAAAGAACCGTCTATGCAACGTCTATGCAACGTCCCTGCACAATGAACACTCTATGCACACTCCCTGCACGGTCAGTCTATGCAACGTCTATGCAACGTCTATGCAACGTCTATGCAACGTCCCTGCACAGTACCATATGAACACCGGCTACTAGCCGGCTACTAGCCGGCTACTAGCCGGCTAGTAGCCACTTTTGTAATAACAGCTCCTCAACTTCACATTAACAACCGGCTACTAACCGGCACTTGAAAAGTGGTCACTAGCCGGCTACTAACCGGCTACTAGCCGGCTAGTGACCACAAAGTGGCTACTAACCGGCTACTAAGCGGTCACTAGCCGGCTATTAGCCGAGCTCTAAAGCAGACCTATTAGTAGCCGGTTCTAAACCGGCTACTAGCCGGCACTTGAAAAGCGGTCACTAGCCGGCTACTAACCGGCTACTAACCGGCTAGTAACCACCAAGTGGCTACTAACCGGCTACTAACCGGTCACTAGCCGGCTCTAAAGCAGACCTATTAGTAGCCGGTTAGTAGCCACTTGGTGGTTACTAGCCGGTTAGTAGCCGGTTAGTAGCCGGCTAGTGACCGCTTTCTAAGTGCCGGCTAGTAGCCGGTTTGGAACCGGCTACTAGTAGGTCTGCTTTAGAGCTCGGCTAATAGCCGGCTAGTGACCGCTTAGTAGCCGGTTAGTAGCCACTTTGTGGTCACTAGCCGGCTAGTAGCCGGTTAGTAGCCGGCTAGTGACCACTTTTCAAGTGCCGGTTAGTAGCCGGTTGGTAATGTGAAGTTGAGGAGCTGTTATTACAAAAGTGGCTACTAGCCGGCTAGTAGCCGGCTAGTAGCCGGCTAGTAGCCGGTGTTCATATGGTACTGTGCAGGGACGTTGCATAGACGTTGCATAGACGTTGCATAGACGTTGCATAGACTGACCGTGCAGGGAGTGTGCATAGAGTGTTCATTGTGCAGGGACGTTGCATAGACGTTGCATAGACGGTTCTTTTGTTGTTGCATGGACGTTGCATAGACGTTGCATAGACTGTCCGGAGCTAAACGACCAAGTTGCCGATTAGGACCCCTCTAAATAAATACTAAACATTTACCTTCTGTTACATCCTCGATAAATTTAATGGATTTGTAGTGTTGTAATTAGTTTAAAACTCATACTTTTTAAGATCGTACTTACTAGGGTTTGATGTCGGATTAGTCTTTAGGTCCAGAAACAGACATATTTAATACACAATTATAAGTTATAATTTCAGAAACATTATTTCATAATCGTAATTCGAAGCATTATTACATACCACAGCGACACTAATCCTAGACTGACCTTGTTTTTGAGTTCAGGTCCATCATGATTAGGATACGCTAGTTTAGCGACAAATAGTAGCGTCTCCGTTACAGTGAGGTTGGGCAACAGTCGGTCGTGCTGTATCACGTAGGCTAACTTCTGTTTTACAGTAGTCGTACTGGCGTGCAGGCCGTCTATCAGAATCTAGATTACTTACTTTAGGTATGGTGAAAACTTAATATTATTGTAATTATCCGGGTAATTATTCGTGCGGGTATATTTCATATATGTACGAAATGTATTTTTAAACTTAGCATATATGCTTTAAAAATGTACAAACTTGAGACTGATAATGTACCTTGCCACTAGGGTGTCCCCGACCATCCAGACGATGAGCGATAGCATCAAGGAGGGTGGTCTTGCCACTACCACTACCACCAAGAATAACACTCAGCTCACAGCTCTTAGCTTTGAAGGAGACATCTGTCAGGATACACCCCCCTGTCATACCTGAGAGGGATTGGTTATTGTTAAATCCAACTGATATATTATATAAATGCAACTGATATATTTCTAATGTACCGTCACAATAGTGACTTTAATATATCGCAATTTGTGTGCTCCTTAGACAAAATCAGCTCATGGAGTTTAACGAGGAGTTCAACGTTCATAATTGGTTCGGAAACTCGATTGATGCCATATGAGTACCATATGGCTAGCAGTATAAGCGGATATATCTACAAAATATATCATGTAGCCTCAATCTACCCTCGATCTACCCTCAATCTACACTCAATCTACCCTCAATCTACCCTCAATCTACACACACTAGATATCTACAAGTACACATGCCTGGTGTATGTTCTAGTTTTCCTCTGGAGAGCTGCTCGGGAACCGTACAGTAATTTAGTCTGAGGAGGAGGTATGGTCTGGGTGAAGGACCTCATTGCAATGAACTGGACTTGCAAGGAGGCAGGGCAGTATCGGAGGAAGATGTTTTTGGCGGGAGCGTAGTAGGTAAAGTGGTGGATGTCAACTTGGTGGGAGAAGAAATCGTTCTCGAATCCGAACGGCTTTAGATCCTGTGGGATTTTATTTTAAGCATGTTTCCTCTGCACAACCATCCATTGTTTTATTTCTGATCGTGGGTCTGCAAAGAAATCATTGATGTAATAATAACTATTATGATGAGCTCTGTTAGAAAATCAGTGCAAAATATTGTACACACCCGCTTCGAGTTTTTGAAGCCCAACGACCTTGCTCTCCTTTCCGTGTGACTAATCACACTGATTGCGGATATTATCCGGCGATGCTTCTTTGTGAACTGTTTATCCGCTCCTATCAGCTCATCCTGACCCTCACTCTGACGTTTCTTGAAAAACTGAAATTGTGGTTATTCATCAGCTGATGTGATTTGAATTAACCCTTTAAAGTACTTTTTATACTTCGGGGGGACACGGCGCTATCAAGGAAATAAACAAACTCATGCTGGATAGACAGATTTGGAAAAAACTATCTCTGTTCGGACGTTGAAGCCGCCCTAAGTCGAGTCGAGTAAGTCGAGTGTTGAATTTCATCTCGAGAATGGTTTTTGGAAAACATTAATAACATACTTTGACTGCCCGTAGTCTGGCGAGAGACCGTCTAAAAAGGCCCGTGAGGGGTCTGTCGGCAAGAGGGTCAGGATTGTAAGCTCTGTTGGCAGATTGGGGCCTTATTTCTATATCAGTGTAGAGTTGTGATTCCCTCGGACTTGACTGAGACAAGTACCTGTGTGGTAGGCATGGATGTTAAAGTTTGTTTAAATTTTCACAAACTCCTAACTTAAATCAGAAATGTGAATATCATCAGCAATTTTCCTGTATTACCTGTGATCGAGATCAAGGGACTCAATCATGGAAGACCTGGGGAGCAGTCTGATCGTCTCCACAATATCCCCTCTGCTCGGAGTAACTGCTACTTCTTGGTACCTCTTCAGACCTGTCTCCGTGTCTATAAACGGCCGATAAGACACCACTTGTGGCATGTTTTCTCTTGACAACTGATTAAAGATCTGATGATCGGGAAGGTCTCCGAATCTGTTAATACTGGAGGAAATAAGGGTGGCACTGGAGCCCTGATCTGAGGCTAATCTGAGGTTTAGGTAGCTGGGTTTGTCGGAGAAATTCAGTTCTGAGGACCCGGTATCTGAGTTGACTTGCATTTCCTCCATTGATTGTGTCTGTATTTGGTCTAATGCAGAGTTTCTGATTTGGAATTTCACCACTCCTTCCGGTCGTCCTCCGGGACACTTTTCTGCTGTCTCCCTTTTGTCATGGCCCTGACTGTTGCTTCTCGAACTAGGCTTTGAAAGCCCGGAAAGCTGGCCCAACCGGTCGTTTGAGCAAGGGCTAGCTGGAGCTAGTTTATTGTGGTAAATGAACCGTACTGTGCCGGAATCCGAACCCTCTCCCGAGGCGGAGGGGTCGTCACCTCCTGACATTACATCGTGACTAGCCCTTCCGAGATACATCGTTACTTTTTTAAATTATAACACGTTTAAGTCATAATTTATCTGTAGTTATAATGAAGTTATAAGTTGAATTTTTGCACTTATTGATGACAATGGTCCTACTCCTACGGAAAACATATTAATTCGCCAACTAATTTGACGATTGAAAACTGGGTAAAAGGTTAACCTAACACGGCCAGCAGTAATGCTAGCAGTATTAGACCTAGCAGTAGTAAGGTTGAAAACTTCAAGATTTAATGCAAGTTCGATCCAAATTAATCAACCTTTCCCCAATATGATTGGAAAATGGCAGAAAGATAAAAACGTAATAATCATGATAATGAACGGTGTAGCCAGAATTGAAATTCCAATGTGGCGTAATCCATGTCTGCTCAATCGTTTGCTTTATAAGCAGATGTTATCACACACTCCTGAGTTTCCGCCTCGTTAACATCCGTTTATCAAGAATTAAATCGCTGATGCTCGCCCATCGCATACATTTATTAAACGTCATCAACTTAGCCTATACACTGGTATAAATCGTAAAAAGATTTGTATTACTATTGGCATATGCAATAAAAAATCAAAATTAAGCAGGGTGACTGGAGCGAGGAAGCGAGTTATCACCTCCGGTCCTTCCGTAAATATGATCAGCTTTTTCATCAAATCATGTTCATTCCGTGGAATAAGCTATGGGCATGGTTCCCATTAAGAATTAGGTCTATATACTCCACATGCAATCAACCTAATTATCGGACATAGCGTGATTGAGCAGCAAATATCCTCGGTCAGAGAAGTTTTCTGTGATTGTCTGTTAGCGGAATAACTGAAGTAAGATAAGCAAAATTTAATTAGATTTAAACAAACTAAGAGAGAAAACTGGAGAATAAAAAGTAAATCTTCCGTTAAGAAAGCAACGTTAAGCAAAGTAGCACTTAGTTTTATTCCCCTCAACGCTGACCCACACTTGCACAACGCACGGTGTATACTGTATACTGTCATGAGCTTCAGCAGAGGGTATATTGCGGGGGCAGTGAAATTGTAGGAATTATTAAACGAGAGGAGTGCAAAATGGAACTGCGTCACCATCTCCCTGTCACGTTGTGACGTCATTATAACACACGTGACGTCATCAACATGCTAGCGATTACACGGGTAAGCCAATTTAGAGGACTTATTTCGTCGCAGTTTACCGCGTTATATAGATTGTCTAATTTGAACCAGGACACATCTGACTTCAGTCCAATTTGAGCCTACTTTGAGCTGATGTGATATTTTGTTGTGTGACAGCTGGAGTTTTACTAGTACGCTAGACTAAACTATAAATATACTCCAAAATGGGTTGTGAGTGTGCGTTGCGTTCCAAAACTAACAGCACTTAAACAGGGATTTAACAGAAATGAAATGTTTAACACATCTAGCTACTAAAAGCAAAATAAAATGGTCCACTTTGGTCTGAAATACCACTGCAGTCAGCATTCGTGTGATCTTTCCTCAGAATTTCTACTTTAATATCATAGTGCTAATTCAAGCCGGACGGTTAAAGTTATATGTTCAGCGACTCAGCTCGGCTGACGCGACTTCGAACTGATTCACTGATCAGAAGGCAGAAAGGGCAGATTTCTGCGATTCCAGTAGGTGATAATCAATAATTATTTTGTTTCTCGGATTTACAAATTTTTGGTATCATGGTATGGTTCTAACGATGATGAGATCAGAACACACGGCCAAAATTCTGGGAAAACTTGCATTGTTGGAATATCGTGATTTTAAAACGGCATTGAATCAAAAAAAGTGTTACGAAAAAACGGCGTTATTTTGCTGAAATTTGGGCTCAGCGTCGGACTGTTTTCAAAACCTCATGATAAATTGTAATAAAATGATGCAATCATGAAAATTTCTGGAATCTATGTACAAATAACTTTTCCAAACGATAGCATAAAGTATGATAAGTTTACAAATATCCGTGTATTTGATAAACGCAATAATATAAGTCAAGTCAGAAACACGCCTACTCGCACACATTTTGAAATATAACTCCAGCTAGCAACGGCGCAAAACAACCAGAGTTTCAGTGAAATGGTGCCCACATGTCTGTGGAACGCGCAGTAGAGCTCTCGCACGTGAGAAATGTTCGAGTCAGTCTAGCTCGTTTGGCGCGCTGTTTCGTTTCCGTTACAAATTTTGACCTTGTACGCCATTTTGTCGCCATTTTGTCAATTTATACGTAATTTCGTAAATTTCGTCAATACCACGTTTAGCCAAATTCCACAGAGAGCTTATAATTTACTTCCAACATGAAATAAACATTGCTAAGGCCATGAAGTTACCTAATGGCTACTTTTAACGGAAAATCAAGTCATTCTGTGACATGTAGCGTCCTTTTGTCACTTAAATGGATGACGTTGACTCTAGAACATCGTGAAACTTTCCATCAGTAAAGCTAAAAGTATTTCCATTCTAAAAAACTTTACTTCAAGATAATTGCACGAAAGATGAATAAGTGTCTAAAGATCCATTTGATTGAACTTGTCTTCAACTTTTAAGCTGTATTACGTCTCGAAATAAGCGATCGACCGCGCAGGATTACCACCTAATTCCAGTTCACTGTTCAAGGTCGGAGAGATCAGATATAAAATAATTGTTTTTTCGACTAGATTCGAACATTCGGCTAAACACTAAACTTAAACTTGGTTAATTTTAATTATATGAAGCGCTCATAGTCATGGTTTTAAATACATGTGTTTAATTTGTTTACCATTCTGTTACCAGATTGAAGGATTGCTAATTGACCTGAAAGCTTCGTTTTCAAGCTACCAAGGCCATGTCAAGTTTCTAATTTTAGATAGGCATCAAATTACTCGATTAAATACAAATAAGTGAATATAAACTGGAACGCAAGCGCGTGGTGGGAGTAACGAAAATAAATGGACGTCGCAGCAAGCATAGAAAGCATTATATATATATGATGCACTAAATGTTTTGGTCTGAAACTGGGTGAGGCAGGTCAGATGTACGATCCTAAAACATCGATTATTACTTTCTCGGATACATTTTATTGTGCGAGTAATTGTTTTCCAATAAAACAGTAAACCTGCCGGCATTCAATTTATTGCTCTTTTTGTGCGACTTACGCAGTCGCGGAGTCTCAATAATTTTCTGGTATGAAAAAGAAAGAAACAGCAATACCATGCAGTGAGTCCGGAGTACAAGAGAAAGTAATACAAAGCAAGCGGTTAACAGCAAATCTATATAAAAGTATAAAGCCAAAGGAAGGATTGCTGTCCATGACAAATCATTTATCTAATATCTTGTTCTTGTGCCGTGTAACTTCAAATGTTATTACCTGACACATCTTATATATCGCAAAGTTTGCGGGCTAATGTTAACTCAGATCAGAATCGGACATATACCTATATAAACATGATAAAACTTTGCAGGGTTTTAGTATTATTAATACTTTAATACTGAGAAGTTAGTCCCTGCAAAGTTTTTGCGATTGTGGATACATATCCAAAAAGTTAGATCATAATGTTTAAACAGTAAGTGCTATAAGTATAAGTGATATAATTATAACAGTTGAGGAATTTACCATAAATACAAATAAGGTATTATTGTATTACAATACGGCCTACGGACGGGTGTTATGGACTTATGGATAAATGCATGAGGCGAATGTGGGGGCACGTATTTGCTGCGTGCGTTCAATTTAATGGTGCTCTTCTGACGAGAAGAACTATTTAACAATAGAACAAATTTGAGATACAGGCAAGTGCCTGGTTCTCTTTGACTTTCAGAGCGCGTCGCATTAAAGAAAGTAATGAAGAAACAAGCGATCGCTAATGAATTGATAAAACCGTAAGAATGAAACGGAAGTATCAAACTTAAAGGAAAATGTCGGACAATCTTTTGTTCATTTTGTCCTTTACATTGCTCAGGCAACACAGAAAAAACCTGTTGAGATTGAGAACTTGATGAATGAAACGTTTATAGTAAAACAGTAGACTACGAGCTGGCTGCAATTTCAATGTAAGCAAGCCAAGCCAAGAAACAATTTGTTAATTGTTATGTTTACAGTATGAGTAATAAGTCGGGTGATATTAAAATTGTCAATGTCACAGCTGATTGTAACGATTTGATTCGCGAACCTTAAAACTTTAAAAAGTTAAAAGCTTAAAGCTTTAAAAGTTTAAAGGCACCAATTTGTTAATTCAGACACTCTTAACTAACTACAATACTAGCAAAATATCCGACATGGCAACTTTTCCGACACGTTGAAGCCGCTTCGGCCTGGTGGCTGGCTTCCACCAAAATATCTAATTACAACGCTGTAACTGTAAGAGTGTAAGGTACCGTTTAGACTTTTAGACTTCCCCCGGTACAATTTCTGAGGGCACATTAATTACCGTTGGAAAGTCCAATTAAATTGTTCCTTACATAATAAAATCAAAATATGTAAAGTGCCTCAATCACAATATGTCCCGGGTCCCCGGTTTCAAAGAATTCAGTTCAACTGAGCGCGCAATGTTTTAATTAAATTCTGCACGCGTGTCACTGTGTTGTCAAGGGAACAGTTTATGACGCGCATCGCGCAATATGCCTTTACACGTTATTCTACCTTTTATCTTTCCGTTGCTTTGAAGTGTCACCGTGACTCTATTTTCGGACTTATTTCAGGGAAAGCATTCTGCATTACAATGTCGCATTAGTTAATGAGCATCTTCGCATCGATCACCTACTTAATTTTATAGTAGATCGTTATAATCTATGAAATTACATTTTAACAAGCTAACGGCAAAGTTTTTAATTTTTAACTTCTTGTAGCTTATTTTTGCTGAGACTCCAAAGCCATTGGGACCATTTAAGTATAACCTCGCTCATCGAATCAATCATCGTTTAGAGCACATTTTAGTTACCTGTCTTTTGTCTGTAACACTAACAATTGACAGCTTAGTTGCCATATTTTTGCGAAGAGAAAAACAAGCTCCTAATCATAAGTTATGACATTATGTACCCAAATAATTAGTTAGCTACTGAAATATCAGTTTTTACTTCAATACTAATATACTATCATTATTCATTAGTTTAGTCATGAAGAAATATTCCATGAGTAAACTACCAATACCGCTGCCTCAACTTGCAAAGTTGAAAAAAGCAGAAGGCGGAAAGAAAAAAAAGACAGTTTCTTTCGCTGGTGATTTTGAGCCTCAAACTCTCAAAAAAAATGATAATGACGCCAACAAAAGTCGTGTCAACAGCGTTATGAAAGCAATGTCACGACAGTCACATAACCACGCTCCAGATGATCTTGAATCATCGGTGAGACATATAAGTGAAATCACGAAATCATTTTATTTCTGTTCTATTTCCTTACAAATGTCTTCATCATTAACTTTGAATCTTACGTTCACATTTTTGTACAGAGCAATGATTCTAATGAAGAAGATACCACGACAGTTCCGGTGGATGAGATTGCTCGCCCAGCATCACCTCCAACAAGAAAGGCAGATCAGGAGTACCTAGAATACAACCTGTTTACGGGACCTCATTCCACCGCTACTGGTTCGTTTTTAAAATTACAAATATTGACCTTGGTGACGGTGTGCCCAACTTACTTACTTACTTAGTATTTGTTTCTAAGTAACATAGAAACATGGGTTAACAAAACTAGCAAGCTTTCAAAAGGACAACCATTGGTTCCCATTTAATGATTAATGATTTATATCTGATACTGATAGCTTCCTATCCAAATATTTAAAGTCCTTTAATAATAAATGAATGTTGTTTTCAGAGACCCTAGCAATACTAAAGTGGCAGAAGTATCTCCGGACAAAACAAGAAATCCGGATAGATCTCAACAAGATATTGACAAAATGTCAAACTTACTTTGGTAATGTCGGTGTAGGGTTCAATTACAATATTGGTAAGTCTTCAATAGATCTTTTGTTTTGGTTTTGTTGCACTTTTTGCTTTTTTGTATTATTAGAAACAGAGTAATCTCAAGAAATTTCATTCCAAGACAATTGAAAGGCCACAAAAAACTAATATTGGGATTTTTAAATTTCCTTTCGACGTCAGGTGACGAAAACTACGTGAGACGAGAGTTGGGGGAAAGCTGGAGAGAACGGCGAAAAACGGGAGTTATTTGCGCTGACACTGAGCAAGATCAATTTGTAATAGATCAGGAGGTCGCCATCGGTAAGTTAATCTTAATCTAGGTTGCATACGATTGACGATTGTTCTGAGTCTGATATTACTTCAACGTGCAAGTAATCAAGTTTTGGTATTGTAAGCAGTGAAGGAGTTATTTTCTTCGGAACTTAAAAATTATATCCACATATTATATTTATGGATATCGCGAAGATGCTCAGTAAGCAATGAATTCGTCGCCGATCACGCGGTTCATGATATTAATTAAGTAATTATACTTATAGTACAGTACAATGCACCTACGTACAAAACTCCAAATCATACTTAATAAAAGTTACTCAAGCAACGGAATGCATGTTTTTGAGCTAACACGTTTGGCTGCACGTTCTTTTTATTCTGAACATTAGGTTTGCACTAAACCCCTGGTTTCCCCTGAACCCCTGATTTCCCCTGAACCCCTGATTTCCACTAAACCCCTGATTTCCACTAAACTACTGGTTTCCCCTAAACCCCTGATTTCCCCTGAACCCCTGATTTCCACTAAACCCCTGATTTCCACTAAACTACTGGTTTCCCCTAAACCCCTGATTTCCCCTGAACCCCTGATTTCCACTAAACCCCTGATTTCCACTAAACCCCCGATTTCCACTAAACTACTGGTTTCCCCTAAACCCCTGATTTCCCCTGAACCCCTGATTTCCACTAAACCCCTGATTTCCACTAAACTACTGGTTTCCCCTAAACCCCTGATTTCCCCTGAACCCCTGATTTCCCCTGAACCCCTGATTTCCACTAGACCCCTGATTTCCACTAAACTACTGGTTTCCCCTGAACCCCTGATTTCCCCTGAACCCCTGATTTCCGATTTCCACTAAACTACTGGTTTCCCCTAAACCCCTGATTTCCCCTGAACCCCTGATTTCCACTATGACTAAACCCCTGATTTCCACTAAACCCCTGATTTCCACTAAACTACTGATTTCCGCTTAACCCCTGATTTCCCCTGAACCCCTGATTTCCCCTGAACCCCTGATTTCCACTAAACCCCTGATTTCCACTAAACTAGGTACTGGTTTCCCCTGAACCCCTGATTTCCACTAAAACCCTGATTTCCAGTTGATATGTCCCCGGATAGACAGGCAATGGATGAAGTTTCTCGAGATGCAAAGAAGATTGCTCACAGGGGCAACATGAATATGATGATATCTGAGTACAAACGAAGGTAAAATACTTCTGTATTTGTCATTCGCGTGCTTTGGTCGTTATATGATTATAATTATAATTATAATATTATATTATTATGCATTATGTTATGGATCATTGCCAGCCAATAAGCTAGCACTAATGTAGGGTCTCTTACAATCTACACATCTTACTACTACACACAGAGGATAATTGTTAATTAGGTTCCATAATTGTTAATTAGGTTCCATATTAGTTAACATGTGATCTTACTCTTACTCTCTTAGGATGGTTAAAAGAGTCACGGGACTAGAAGAGCTTGAAAAATGGATAGTGACCTTGTCAGAGAACGTTGAAGAAGAAAGCTTGGAAGAATTGGAGGATTTCATCGATAATTCCTACGAAGAGTGAGTAGAAAATAGTTAACCATAGTACATATTGCTCCTTCATAAAGTTGTTCATTATTTTTCAAAAAGTCACACTTTATGTACCCTGTATACTTCATGGCCTAACAAGAGTAATTAGTGAGTTAGTAGATAGTCAACTCTTGTTAGATAAATAATTAGATTTGAAGCTAAAAGGGGTCTTGGGTTGCATCATTACATTGGTGATCATAATATATTCTTGTATGACCAAATTAATGTTTGTCAACTGTTTTTATTAAAGTTTCAATACACAAATAAAATTTGATGTCAGCCAGTAGGTCACTAGGTGCGGTTCGATTCAACAACAAATTACCGACTCAGTAATTTCTCATATCTACCACTATCTATCATTTAATCAATTTATCACCAAACCCTAGATTTACGAAAGGAAGATACGAAGCTAAAGCGATGGTAAAACAAATGAGAAGGCTCCTGAGAAAAATGGGAGAGAAACACCGCATGCTGCAAAGTAAGTGAAATAATGTAGTGTGGCTCAAGGTTCAGGCTTTATATGGTCAACAGTTCGTTTTAACACTTCTTCTCTGATAAATGTATAGGAGGAATATAATAGGAGGAAAGTGGATGCCGAGATATTTTTCAGACCACGATCATTTAGATCATTCTTTAACCGTTTATCATTGTTCGGGTGTTTTATAGAGAGGTAAGCTTTGATACGAGTAGGTATTTTTCGGGGAGGCTTGGTCGGTGTTGCGCAAAACTGCGGTTTGAACGTCTTTTTTGAATACTAAAGTTAAAGTTTATAATTTATTCATACCCAACAGACAGGATGAAAGTGACAAGCAAACTGAAAGAACGAGCAGCAATGGCAAACAAGAACCTAAAAATAGACTACACCAGCGTTCAAACCGTTAATCAGAGTTTCGAACAGATCATAAACCGTCAACTTGTCCTGATGTCTGCAACAAAGTAAGTTTTTTCGAAGTAAGGAAAGAGGAGCGCTATGTCTAAAAGTGTCAGTTGTATAAGATGTCATTAATTTCTTGCAAATAAACACTTTTAAAGTACATGACATGTCGGCGTCCGTATTAAATGCAATTCATAATCAACACTGCAATCTAAATCATATTAACCTACGTCAAAACTGTTTGAAGCATTTTTGGCATCAGCTCTGAAGTCTAATTAAAATTACTGCCGCAAAAAAAGAAGGTAAAAAATTCCGATCTACGTTAAGTCGCACTCGTTAAATGAGATATGCCATACATTGTACTTGTAGTGTCAACTACAGCTACAGAACGGAAAATATTTTAAAAATCAAGAACAGCACAACACGAATCATGGTCGTGTTCAGTGTTCACCCACAAGCCGGTTACACATCATCTCAAGCTGCAGGGCCGCGCCATTTTGGTAAAGCACTTTGAAAAAAACATATTTTAAGAATAACTGTTGCAATAATATGTTACTGTGTTAAACTTAGATAGTTACAAGAGGGGTGGGTGGGTCGTGTTATACATATCTAATATGGAGATCCATTAGCAGCTGTTGTAATTAATCTTTTGTTGAATCCACCGGGCCCAACCCGCACAATATTAAACCAATAAATCTGAGTACTTGTTTAGAGGACTCACATTATGCACAGTGCAAATTAGTTTAACACGAACACATGTCCGCGTCAGAACACATGTCCGCGTCAGACTAAAGTTTGGCAGATTGAATGAAATATGATTCGCGAAACTGAAAGAAACATGCGACATAGTCCGACTTATCATGAATCAATGTGGATTTAGCTATGAATAGCTAATTCCATGTTACTAGTGATACCTTCAATTCGGAACACTAAACCGCGGATTCCAAGAAATCAGTTTTTTAAACAGATTTCTAGCAAGTCTAGACGGTTCCAATGCAAACTAAAATCAATCAATTTAAAATGCACCCCCTCCCTCACTTTCACACCCCCTCCCTCACTCCCACACCCCGCAATCACACACTAATCCCACAGAAAGATGTCACGTGAATGTGGGGAGAACGATGAAAAGCTCCGGAAGATTCAGCAACACATGATGAGATGTGCGAAGGAGCTGAGTGACGATAAGGAGGCACTGTTCCACAAGAACCACATCCTCAGTGTGGAGAGTCAGAAACTTAACGATGTAAGTATCAGTTAGATTATAAGATTATAGATTAGAGTTTGCTAAGTGATGATAGATTATATGTGAGGTATCCACATTGTACAGCTAATCTGCCCATGTTTTACCGATCGGCCGGTAGTTATTTGTGTTGGGATTTTGTTAAGCTTTTATTAGACCGGCCTTGATAAATGGCTGGTGGTACCGGTATTTGCCAGTGGGTGGTATTGGTAGTGGGGCCTGAGGCTATTAAACAATAATCATGAGCCAATTTTACATACAAAATCAAAAAGTTAACAAGACTAAACTCAAATCCAGCTTATGAACAACAAATCTGGATATAACTTTCCAGAAATTCTATCGGGTTCCTGCAGAAATACATGTTTGAAAAGGATCAAAGTGAACAATGCATCAACAAATAAGTACTTTTCTTTTAGTGCGACGTCAACATGTAACCATAACCCGTCATGATAATTACAGCTGAGAAGAATTAGCCGTTTGTACATATTTCCCATTAGTTAAATGTACGCATGTGACTACACTGATGGCAGTGGAGTACAAGAGTTGAAATGCGTGGATTTGTGCAATGAATATATAGTGATTTGCACAGAGTGAATCCGTGTGGAAAATGAAACATTTATTGCTAAACGCTATAGTTTATGACACAAGTATTCGCTTGTTCCTACACTGGCTTCCTTACCGATCATACAATGTCTCTAATTACTAATTAGTCAATTAACTACTAAGTATACCAAAATCGCTGCATCATGTGTCAATTAATTAAAATCAGGCACCACTGTAGTAGAAGCTAATTAACTAATTAACTAATTTTTCCATTGACCAACTATTCTTCAGAGATGTAAGATAGCAGAGGAACAGCTTGAGTTCTATGAGAACAAGGTTGGTCTGGAGAAACACCAAGCCACAACCGAAGCTGGCAAGACCGTGGACATTCTAACTCAGGAAATAGAACAACTTATGTCAGCGAATGAAACAAGTGGGTTCTACATAAATCTAATTACGCACTAATGTTGAGCTGTAAAGAATCGCTTAACTGATCATTGTTATCCTTAAATTCTTATGTTTAATCCATGTGCGCTGACGTGATTAGTTTCCATTTTCGCCATTGTTATGATCAACATGTTAATCGGTGATTAGATTTTACTACATACAGAACTTTCATAAGTTAAATCACATCGTCTCTTTCTCTGCAGTGGTGCAAGAAGAGAAAGCACTGAAGAACGAAGTGGTGGACCTGCACGACCAAGTGTTGGTGCACGAAGTAACGAATGGGGACTTGAGGAAAGAGATTGTGGACCTTAAGGAAAAACTTGAGAATATGGAGTTCATGATGAATGTGAGTTGTTCTGTTAATATTTCCGAAAATCAGGTCAATGGAGCTCTTAGCACTGTTTTAACTTAGCTTTAAACCAGTCGCCTAAGGCAATTTTGATTTCTACAAGTAAATTTACCGTTTTGTATTTGCCCTGATAGTACAAATTTCTACTAAATAAGTAGAAATTATTTTCTAATAGGCAAAAAATAGACCGTGAAAACGCGCGAAACGTTAGAGATCAGATATTTTAAACAAAGAAAAAAATTGTTGCCGCTTTTTGATGAAAAGGCTGGGCTTTCCATGAATAATGATCTAGATTCTACCCACATTTTTACATATATATATATTTCATGATCCTGGGACACTGCTATCATAGGGCTCGTTCACATATTACGTAATCACTGAGGGGGAGGGAGGGGATTTCTAAATGATTACCTACGCTAGTGTAGTTTTATGTGTAAATCTGATTAGTATAATAAGTATAACAGGGGGAAGGGAGGTTAAAGATTGGCCACAAAATGATAATTACGTGATATGTGAACGACCCCTTAGCTTTCTCGTTAAAACCGTAAAAATTGTGGACTCTTTGCCGATCGGGTTTCTTATTGGCGCGGTTGAGCCAGTGTTTCCGTGTAATAACTATAGTTTAAAGACAAAGTATTGCAAACTGCAATCAGATTGCCTTAGTCCAAATAATGAAGCTTATCTCAAAAAATAATGAACCATTAGTACTTATTATAAACCGTTCGAATTTATACTGATTTCTTTTTTCTCGCCTAACACTCTTGATTCTTTCTTTTCAAAGATCAATAACGCTTTGTTTTTAGGAGGAGAAAAGCAAGTTCATGACTGTGGAAGAGGAATGTACTTTACTTCAAGAAGAGGTTACTAAACTTAACTTTTTAACCAAAATATGTAATACTAGTGTAACCCGTGCCTTGCCTACCGCGGCCGGGATTTCACTATTGCAGTTAACGGGTGATACTCGTAAAATATCTGTTCCATATATTACCGTCGACGAGTCCAACTCGGCGCGCGTCCTGGTACTGGTAGGTTGTAAACCTACAATATTGCAGTTGAAATACAAAAAAATTAAACTCACCTATTATATTCTAAAAACGCATTACATACATTTCCGTAGTTAAAACGGTGCAAAAGTATGAACTCGCTCTGTCCAAACACACCGCAATTTAATTATGAATGCTCCTCACGTATCTAATATTAATACTTGGTACTGGTAGTGGTAGGCAATCTTGAGGTCCCCTGCCAAATTACCTAATTATATATCAAATTTGTTTTGGAGGGAAAGAGAGCGAGAATGGGAGAGCAAGTGAGACACTTTAGTATCACATTCGGGTCACAAAATGATCAATTAAACCACTTACCACCGGTCGATTTAAAAAACCTTAATCATTTGGCTTGGTCAGAGTTTTGTCGGCACTATACCGAAAAAATCAGCCCCGTAACTCTTTCCGTTTCAATCGATTAAGCTGTTCGAAAATTACATACGAACAAACGAACGAACACACATCTTTAAATTATTAGTATGGATTATTGCGCAAAAAATGTTCAAAAACTACATTCAACCGCAATATATGGACCTCTTGACGCGAATCGGACTGCAACCATTCGCTAAATAGGCTCTGCCTCTGGCAGTACCATATCTAAAGAGACTTTAAATAGCATAATACTGAATACACGAAACTTTGAAAAATGCGTCCAAGTTTGGATATCTGGACTGGTAGTACTAGTAAGACATTAATATTATAAGTATAACCGATGTAAAAAGTAAATAAACGCTAAATATTATATTGCTGATTGCTCCTTAATTAGCTTATTATCTGTAAGAAGATGACGATCAGACCTCATTAACATTTAATAAAATTAAATACAATTTCCACTTTTCATTTATAAAACGATAGCTATGGCTTCTGGTAGACAAGGCAAGTATGCCCTCGCAAAATTCCATCCGTTATAAAATGATATTTAATTTTAAAGTTACCTTGGGAGCTTGGGTGCATTTATAGTTATACCAATTACCAGTAACCAGTAGCCTATAACTCTATAAGGACAGTACTTGAACATTTAATATAATGTGCGTCGATGCACTATAAATATAATTTCTCAAGAAAAGCTATCTCAGAAAATACAAAAGCTGTACCGAGCTGAAATTCTTTACTGTGGTAACACTGACGTTCTCAATCGCTTTGGTCCTCTTTTGTTGGCTAAATGCCAGGCAGTCTGACAGCTTTATTGCTTTATTGATACTACGCAGCCGTTTAAGGTGAAATCTGAACAGGCGTAATAGCTCGAGAGTGAGCCTGTAGGTCGGTTACGTGATGCATTTCACCTGATTTAGGAATTACCATTTAGTGTGGCGGTACAATGTGTGTTCTCAAAATATAACTTTCTTGATAATGGGACTTGGCATGAAATAAAATCATTGGCAGTTAACAAGCATCTCTGGCTTCTAGTTCTCCTTCCGTACTTTTCTTTACGGTGTAATTAAGTTAAAAGCATTAGCACGGTTGCTGTATCTCCCCGATATTGGAGGAGGTTATTAGCGCAAGATGTTCGCTATCTCCTCCCCCACGCAGCTTATAACATTTCTTAATACCATTTGATGTTTATTTCGCGTGACTTCTCAACTTTTCACTGATCACTACTTGACTCATATTAAGCAATTGTTTTCCTATCACACCACGGCTGCTTCAAAATTGCCACTTTTTCGCAATTCGATTTTAAGCTCCTGAACGCTTCCCGGCAAAACTCTGTGAGTAAAACTCGGATATGTAAATAACCATGCAATTGTGAAATAATAATGAGATTTAACATCAGTTGTTATATGTACAGTTACATTCTTCATATTCAATCAAATTAATTCCAAAACGAATCCATAAGTACTAACAAGCTACAACAAGTGGTCACATGCTGATCACATGCTGATCTCCCCGGAAAACCAAACATGTCTCTTAACCTCCTGAAACTCCAGTCTCTTCCTGGACACAGGACACAAACACCCCTTCAAGAACCTAATACAGTTTGTGGATACCTTGCTAAACAAGTTCTCAAGCTGCTGAAAATCACTGGCTGTCACAAATAGGGGCCGTCGAGCGAAGACCATCTCGAACAAAATACACCCCAGAGACCAGACGGATCCGTGGAGAGGAAGGTGTTTACCGGTGAGGAAGTACTCTGGCGGGAGGTAGGCTGGGTCTGATATCTCAGTGATGTGAGGTTTGGAGGATTTGAGGGTTAGGGAAGCTTCCTCGAAGTTGGACAGTTTTATCTTTAGAGTATCTGTAGGGTGGAGTTTGTTAGATCAATGATAGTACTGATAATTAATGTTAGCAAATTATGGAACCAATACACCACTATTGTAGCCGGGTAACTAATTGAAGAAATCTCATTGTTCTACACCGAGACTTTTAGAGACTTTGTTGATGAATAACATTAAATACCTATGATTTAAAACTGAAAAGTGTTCACAGACCTGGTTGAATGAGTATGTTGTTAGGACAAAGGTTACGAGGATCCACATCCTTCAGATGACAGAAGATTAAGATGTTGTACAGCTGCCTCATTATCTCCCTGAAACGAATTCACGATCAGTTACACGTTCCCACAAGATTTAACCGGAAAATTAGAACTGCTGCATGCCGTTATAATCTGCATGGAGTTCTATGATTGGGCCACCGCTTGCGTTAGTTCATGACTGGTCTACTTTGTAGGAGGACATTCCAATTTCAACAAATTCAGAAATCTAAATAACCATAAAGCTGAATAACTAAAATAGTTTACCTTGCTTGAGTCTCGGAGAGCGCACCATGCTCGGCTATGTAATCAGACAACGTGCAAACCCCTTGCGCGGCTTCAAACACCATGAACCACACTCCTGTCAAGGAAACATAAGTTAGAACATGATCTTTATCAGCTAGAATTAGTAACCCAATAGCAGACAAAATAATTTGCTGATCAAATAAGAATACATATTTTGTGCTACTATAGAACCATCGAAAGTACGACCACAAACCTGATTCAAAGAAGAATTCCTCCCACTTCTGAAAGATTGCCGGGTTGTTGAGTTTCTTGTTTATCAGGATCTCATTAGGTACCATTATGTCCTTTTGCTTACTATACTCCCTGGATTTCCCCTCCAATACCTGAGCAGAACCTTGTTCATTGTTGGATCCCAGAACCACGTTAAGTAATATAATATATCTTTATTACAAATGCTTTTGCTATTAAACTGGTGATCGTTTATAAACGTCATCTTATACTTCCGAAAATAATCAATACAAAATACCCATAAGCGATTATTGCTCAGGGCTTTTAATTTCATATGAGCAAGAATCGCTTATGAATAGTATGACTCGTGATATTGTCATCTCGCACATACCTTGACAATGACTTCTTTACCGGTGACGTATCGTTTAGCAAGGTACATCTGGTGCAGGTCGGTGCTGGAGATCTCATAAAGTGGCTCAAAGTCATCGAGGAACATCGCTGAACAAATAATATTGGGTTAAGCGCATATTAGCTTCAAAATAAGATAACAGGAAACCGAGAAGTTTGACCTATAAGAACCGAAGTTTGAACATAAGCATGAAGTTTAGAAGATTAAATAAAGTTTGAAACTGTGATTTACCAACAGGAAGGTATATAAAACAAACAAACAAGTAGGCGCACTGCAAAAGTAAAGGACTCAATAACACCAGAAGGTTTTAACAATATAAGGTAGTTTTAACAACACAATGTCTGCAGCTATATAAAACCCCGCCATATAGGCCTTCTCTCAGATCAATGACCTGACTAAAGACTATTAAAGCACAAAGCAAATATAGGCGTAGCCTTCAAAGAAAACATCGCAACCACTTTGATCATATTATCAAACCGAGAAACCAGGGTTAAGGAATTACAAGGATATAAAAAGAACTAGGTAAAATGTAAAGAGATTTTCTCTTCCTCTTTATGAATACCCATCATGTCGTATCTCTATAATCGAGCAATTATTAGATCTGATAGAGCTATAACAAGTTAACTTTCCCAATTAGAGATCATATCTTGATGTGTCTTCTTGAGGTAGATGGCAGTTGTCATGGTTCTCATATGTCATGTTGACAATTCTAACTACTTTTCTACTACTACTAACTGCTTTTCTATTACTCGGCTACTACTGATCAGATATGCAGTCATTAAAAATCAGAATGAAAAAAAGTCAGAAAAAGTCAAAAAGTCAGAAAATACCGCGGTTAATGGGCATGTGACCTGTTTTAACGTTTAAGGTACAGTATGCATGCAGAGTTTCCATTGTCATGAGTTGTAACTATGATGATTATTGCACCATTGTGGCTAACGATTTGTTTCGACACTTCCTACTGAGTAGGCCTTCCTGTGAGTAGGGCCTACTCAGTAGGCATATGAACTTAAAGGTAAAATATTATTAAAATTGGCTAGAAAAGATCATAGCAATCGCTTTAAAATTAGAGGCTGCAACTCTCCGAAATCGCCATCAGAGCCAAGCTACGAGAATTTTATCGGCGACACTGGTTGCCACAACCATTGGTCGACAATGGTTATTATATCTGAGTTAAAAATTCAAAAATCGCCTCAAAGAACTAGAAACATGCAAACAGTTGATTGATTGACAAGCCCTAAGGGTGCTACCAAGACCCTCTAGTTTTAAACAGTATAACGAATTCAATTTTATCAAAAAGTTGTTTCCAACCCCCAAATTAATTTGGAACTTCAAATACTTGAAAGGACCTGGACCAGTTCTGCCTATCAAGAATTTTAAGTTCTGCTTGCTAAACATGAATCACAACCGACCTTATGGCTAAACCTGACCTTCGATGATATCTCAAAATACCATAGGCGCCATACTCGATTAAGATTCATGGCACAATGGCGCCATTTTAAGATAAAGTTGGCACCAATGGACATTTTCTAAAAGAGAAAAGCCAATCATCGACAATGCATGAATGGCTTGGAGGTATTCTGACCTTACGATAGCAATAGCAATTTGTTAGAGCTTGACAAGGAGTAGTGTCAGCGTCACAAAGCAGCTACAAATATTAAGAAAACTCGCAGAATAGGCAAGTTTAAAATCGAAATCTAGGATGTCATGGTTACTTGTAAACCGACACAAAGACATGACAATCGAGGGGCTGTATAAAACAAAAATGCTAAACGTTACAGTTACTTCCGATACAGTTCTGTTTTCTATTCCCATGGAAATAAGCATCCAAAATTCAAATAAAAGGAAAAGTGCACTTTCACACGAAAATCACAAGCAACAAACTATAACACCTTGCATGAAAAGCGTGCCAAATATATAAGGTAAGTTCGGGAGTAAAATTTGGTTTAAGCATGGGGACTGAGACGTAAAACTGTAAAACAGCTACAAAAGTAACGTTTCAAGTTTAGAGTGATAAACATAGAGATTGTTCACAGGTTCACATCGGGCGATTAAAATTATAGAGCTCCGTCATTCCGTCAATAAAGCAACGTGTTGTTTCGTAATTGTTGTTTAAATAATTTTTGTTGACGACAAAAACATACTTATTATAACTGGGGACTATGAAAACATTAAGTATGAAATAATGGCGCAAACGATATCGGCTCGCATTTCCCTAAATACCACGTGTACAATCATTAGATCAATACGTCTCCCAATCAAGCCAAGTTACTGACTGCATAATACCTTGTGCCTGACAGGTTTCTCATCGATTCTTATCAATTTACATGCTATATCATATGATCTGCTTCCTGATCAATTACAGCTCTGTGCGTCTAAAAAGTTATGCAAAGAGCTCATTTGATTAATTATATTTCCAATTAGCATTTTAATGAATATCATGGGAAAATCAGTGCTTAATTGGAATTGATTGGGTCTATGATTTGGTTTAAAACTAATCATTAGTATGAATTGTAGTTAACGTGAATCCAAAACTTTATTTTTACCTCTCGCGCACGAGAATATCATGTTCATAAAGAACAAACGTCACATGATAACTAATTATTGGTAATAGTGTTTATTACCAGTACATTGTTCTCAAAACTGTTGCTTAATATTAAATTCAAAGGTAAACTGCCCTTCGTATCCAAAAATAATGATTAAACTACATCCCTTCTTTCTGCCCAACTAAAACTCTCAAACAACCCCTCAGAACTTAGCGCTGCGTGTAGCGAACAGCACTAAACCGGAAGTAGCCCACAAGACAGTGAGTATCCAGTCCCTGGAGAGTATCCCCACATCCCTCTCAACTGTCAGCGATACAACACCCCAACAAGATGCGGAGGTTGTTTATGTGGACAGGGTCGTGGAGAACTACGATGCTGAAACTGGTTAGTTTTTACTTGATTAATTAGTTAATTAATTAGGTAATTAGTTACTCCGAATACAAATGATTTGGAGATCGTTTTGAGGAAGCTGGTCGAAAATCTTGATGTTATCAAAATCTGTTAATTAATTTATCTTATCTTATGGGCTAGTCAGAAAATGACGATTTTCTGCTCTACATTAAGTTTTAAAATTACCTCCCACATTTCTGTCAGATACGGATGATTTAAACGTAGAAATGGGCTTGACAGCAGAAATTGGAATGACAACAGATACTGTTGAATTTGCTGAGGACAAGAAAAGAGGTAAGTCACGTCAACAATGAATTTATGAGGTGTTAGATGTACATGTTAACAGATAAATCTACTAATGGTGCTTGACAGAATTAATTTAATGTTGGTGGACAGACAAGCTATAAAATAATCTTATAACACTCCATTGTACATTAATTTAACGACTCACCTTAGGACTGACAAATCCTTTCGAGACAGACCTACTTGCAGGAAACATGAACTTCTTACAAAACGTCAAATTAGGGAAAGAAAGGAAATGTTAGTAATTTCAATCTTTGATATAATAATTATCTAAATTTAATTAGATACGTTCATGAGAAACAAACTATTTAATCTGAAACAATGATTCATGAAACTTCACGTGGGACACCCATAAACACAGCACGGCTTTCAAACTTCCTAAATTTAACTTGATAATAATAACGAATGATAAACCTTTAAATGCTATATCTGCAGCCCAGCCGGACCACAGTGACGGTAACAGCTATGTAGCAGAGAAGAGGAGGGTGCTGGATACTCCAGGTTACACTCAGATGATAGTTAACCGGTTGAAGGAGGAACGACAGAACGATACGAGTAAGTTCGCTGTGTAAGCGTAATAATAATGATAGATAATGATAAATTATGAACAATGTTTTCTCGCATTATATTTGTGATAATTCATTCCTTTGAAATAGCATTTATTTTCGTAACATTTAACAACGAGAATTTTAGTTTCGAGACATTTTAAGTCACAAGCTTGTTCCCTCAGAGAGGATGTCGGACTATATTCATCGAGAAAGAGTGAGGACCGACGCGACCACGACAAAGTTGAAACATGAAAACAAGAGAGTTTTGAAAAGGCTCAAAATGGATATGAGAGGTGAGTTACCGTGCAAACATTCATAGAAAATTCTAGATTCTAGTTTATACCACTATCCCACTATCTACTAGGAATAAATGTAGAAATTTGATAATTGTATATACTTATATATATATATACTAATAAGATAATTGTATATACAAACTAAAAGCTACAGAACTCTACTATTAATTTGAATGTTTTAGCGATGTTGCTAGCGATACTGAGACACCGCAACAAGATAGTTGAGCTATTCCACAAAGGCGGAATAGAACTAGAGGGACTCATTAATCCAACTATAGCAGAGATAAAGGGTGACAAGAGCGATAAAACATCGGTAAATAACTCCGCTTCTATGTTTATTGATAAGTGCTAAATTATGTATTAGAAGACTAGGATATTGGGCCTAAGACCAACTTTCAAAATAATCGGATGACAAAATAAATCGGTCCACCTCTGTTTTCACACATGGAGCAACTTTGTCATGCAACCTTGTTCTATTTTTACATTTTTTACACCCTCATGCCCCTATTACGGGTTTACATTATCTACACTGGTGGCCGGGTGCTTGGTGATCGTTAAGACTTTGTCACGTGATAGAGATCGAACAATGAAGTATAATCATCTGTTTACATCAGAATAGAATAATAAGGACTTATAGCTGAGTATCTGCGTGATGAACCCTATATAAGTTCCTCGATCACATGTGTAATATGCTTGGTTTTATATGAAGATTTTGTGTAACTTCTAGATGAAAGGCTCGAATAGGTAATGGTATTGTCCAGAATTGTGAGCGTATTGAATGACGAATATCGTGTTTCAGGTCTCGTTGAAGCACACAGCTGTTGAGGTTATAAACAGTCTCGACTACAATTTGTGTATTGGACTCAAGGAGATGCATTTGAAAATAAAGGAAACTGTCGAGAATCAGAAGGTGCCATTTTGCTTACTTTTATCGCATATTTTATTTTTTATACCAATTACAACATAATATCTTTTTGTTAAGGGTTTTAGAGCGTGTATTAGAAACAGTCGTAGTAGTAGGTATTAACAATCACTAATCAGCAATCTAAAACCATTTTCTCTAGAAAACAGAGAAAAAGCTGGTAGTAAAGAATAAGAAGCTGGAGAAGAACAGCAAGGCAGTGGAGACTTTGGAGTCCAGGATGCTGCAGCTGAAACGGGACACGGAGAGACTGAAGTACAGAGAACACTTCACCAATGAGAGGTATAGAGAGCTCCTGAAGAGGGAGGAGGACTTGGAGCGGGCTGAGGAGGCTCATGTTGACAGGTGCGTTATAGTTAACTTTCACTATTGTTAAACACAAGGAAATTTAGTTACTTCTCAATATTATGACATGTAAACTATTTGTGTTTATACTGGTGAATGCTACCAGGATTGAACAACGACTCAGCGATATGTGGACTAAATCGACCACGGAAATAAAAGATGGTCTGGACGAAATCCTGCAAATAAAGCAACCGGAGGCTATGGCAAACAAACGCCTGAGAAGAATGTCCCGACCCCACCGACCCAAAGATCGAATGACCAAAACGATCGAGGTTGATGCCATGGAAACTGTGGACGAGAAATCTTCTTTGTCAATGTCAGGTTGGATATTGCAAATATACATTGGAATATTGTTTATCCAGAAAAAAAAGTGATAAAACAACTGGCAAATTTCCTTAAAAAACAAAGACGACAAATCTCAATTGAAATGATAAACAGATAAGGATATAATGGACAATTTCAATAACTGGCATTCCTGCAGTGTTGGAAACAGCGATTTCAGAGGAGGAATCCTCTTCAGAAAATTATGAAGAAGAAGATGAGGAGATGCCTGAGGTAATGATCACTCGTATTACATTTACATGATAATATCGCGTGATGATTCTTCTTGAAACATGTGTCGTTCTGAATTGTATGAGAATAGGAAATGAGACGAATCTGTATGAAAGCATGAGCTCTAATATTTTGATCGTCTGTATTCTACTAGCTTTATCAGGAAGTTAGCTTGTTAGTTCTATTTTAGATCGTACACTTCACCCTGACTTCATTATCAGCTGAACCTGCAGCTGAAGATAGACACTACGCAACAACAACAGCAGAGTTACCTGCAACAGCAGACAGGCGCGGTTAACAACGCGAATGAGCCTGAGGCAATATCAGGTCGACCTCACCAGCGACAAAGGGCAAATACACAAGGGCTCCAACAACCATTTGCCTAAAGTAAGTCAAATATCAACTATCAACATCTTAACCTGTAAAACTGTTGAACAGACCAATTTATCCACAAATTCAACCACTGAGCGCGGAAGAGCCTGTCCAGACAAAAGCAGAGAAATGAAGCATGTAACAGGGGAGGCAGTATATTAGCGATAATTAAGATGGGACAAAGCGAGGTAGATACTCTCCTTCCTGCATACACCCAGAGAGACAGGTGTGGTAGTGATATCACGTGACTTCAACATGAGTATTGTAGCTGCTGTGGTGCGTGTCACATGATAATGGAAACAAGAGGCGATGTGGAGATAAGACGTTGCAGACATGCAGGAGGGACCTGAGATAAGGAAGCGCAAAGTTATAAGAGATAAGCTATTATTAAGAGATAGGTAAGCCATATTGTGAAGAAAGTGAGGACTTGTGATGCAGTGGGTGCACCAGCAACAAGAGATGGCTAGACTTAAAAGAATAAATATTGATAACATCTGGCTGATGAAAGGCAATTGGAGATGGATAGAAATGTCAGACACAAACTTTGAGAAAAACTGCTACTAACAAAAGTCAAAAACGGATCAGTCATTCACGGACGATTGTTAGTCTGATACGGCAAATAATTGTGATTAATGGAACAAGACCTCAGGGGCGAGGGACGGCGAAACAAAGTGTGGCTGTAATCGTAAGGGAAAGCTGGGCACTGCCAGAACAAATTAATCGAGTAAACTTATATGTAACCGATTAGTTCTCAAATAATCACGACCCGAAACAATTGTACTTTAGAAGATACTCAAGACCAGCTTTCAAGGCCGGGTACCGGTGGTGTAGTTACGAAAAACCGAAAATAACAAGCAAAAGTATCAAGACATACTGGTACCCAAAATAAGCAAACATGACCCGCAGTGTCACCACGATTACTGAAACCACCTCATTACCTCTGTGTACGATGTAACTACCTTAATTGCACCAATTAAGTTCAAGTCCAGGAAACTCTTTCGTTAACTAGCAGTCCCTAATGAGATAAATTAGAACCTCTATGTTGACGGCTGAGTCCTTTTCAGCCTGAGAAACTTTTTCAACCATATCAAATTGTTAAATTGGTATCAATTATGCATCGTTAAGTTGGTATCAATTAAGAAATTATGCATGTCAAACAATTTAAACTGGTGTAATTTGATACCAAACATCGTATTTTCAAGCAAGGATTCATTTTATCAACGCCAAGCAGAACTTGAGAACTTTTTCGTTCAACAAACTACCACGGCCACCTTGCCAATTTCATCACATCAACAATCGTGCCGTGGGTGCGCAAGTTTAATCGAAGTGCTTTCCAATAAACTGTGATAACTTATCGATCGTAACCTGTTCATAGTATAAAAGAATAAAAGTATAAGACGACTACAGTCGTCTGATAATTGTCATTTCCAATCATGAATTGCAATCGTTTTCTCTTTGACAATTGCGTCCATTTCATTTCAATCTCTGGTCAAGCGACTTTGAATAATAAACGAAAAATTCCCCCAATTGTCACTAAGAGGAGAAAAAAGTTAAATCGGTGTAATTACGTCCGTAAAAAGGTGCTTATAAAGAAAAATTGGTTATCGACTTTGGATGTTTTTGCCAGATTCTGCCTGGTCTGAAACTTTCGCAGCGTGTGCAGTGTGTCCCTCCTGGGCCGCAACGTGAGACAAATATTTTGCTAATTATAGTTGCACAACTGATAACGGTCAACGAACAGCTTAAGGTGACTTATAGTCACTAGATATAAAATATAGATGGATACTTAACTCCAATTTCACAATTGCAGAGTGAAAGTGAGTGGACAGAAAGGAAAGCGGAAGAACTCAAAAAGTATATTGAGGACTTTGAAACTGTCAAGCCTTCGACAATTAATCACGGTAAGTACTAAGTTCCCTAATTTCACATACTTTCTCCTTCAAACAACTTTGTCTGAAACTCTGATTAAAACCTTTAAATTCCTTCAAACCGTTATTTTGAATTTCCAATACCCTTACATGTTACAGTGTTGAGTGTTTCCATTTATATTTCGTTTCCTGATTTCCTCAGTTACACTTTACAGTTCAAAATACTTATTTGTCTTCTGGTAACATTTTATTTTACTCCTATCGTTATTTGAAAATTAGTCTAGTGTAAACAGTCATATCTGTAAACTGTAGAATTTATATAATAGTGATAAATTACATGTTCCTATGACTCTGAGATTTCCATCATATAATTATAATTCTAACTCAAACCAGCTAATTCCATTTCTTCTCAGGAGAAGACCACAAGTTCCTTCATTTCGACTCGTGTGTTGCTAAGATAGATGACATGTACAAGACCATCCTACAGGGAGATCCCGCTAATGATCGCAGGAAGAGGAGGAATGCTGGAGTCGGGGCGGTATGTAACCTTCTAACATGCCGCACATACCGCACATACTATTACTATGCATCTAGTTTAATCTTCCAAGATACTGGATTTAGTGATTAATGAATTATTTATCATTTGGAATCGCTTAGCTTAAAGTTTTGACAACATAGTCGCCTTTCATCCATGAAGTGCCCGCGTACGTTCGTGGGCCAACTTGTAAGTCCTTCAATATTCAATAACTCATACCCCAGTACTGCAGGTAGCGAACACAATAGAACTCTACTCGGGTCCCCACCAATCCCGACAGAGACAGGAAATGCAACTAACCATCATGACAATGGACCAGGTCTGGAACGTATCCGTTCTGCGGACTGCTTACGAGAGCAAGCAGATTGGTATCAGGGTCTACAGCAACGCTCTCGATCTTATCAGGTTTGTGGGGGAGAGGAGGAGAGAGAGGGGGGAGAAAGAGAACGTGGCTTTACATTGCTTGAGAATCAAAAACATATTTAGCTTTCTTCACAATCACATGGTTCTACAATTTAATTTCGCCTTCATTTCACGTATGAGATAGATTATATGTATATTCGAGGATCTATATTCTCATTCTCATTGGTTTAACTCGAACATATTATACCGTCAATTTTGCAATTGAGATGAGAATGATTGAATTGCATATTGTTTGAACTGAACTGTCCCGAACCATGATAGCATTTGGACAACTTCAAAGCTGAGCACAGTGTCCATGGAACATAAGATGTTCGGCTAATCAAATCACAGTGTCCTCTATAAGTCTATACAGTGAGATGGTTACTAAGTACTGAGCATACAGGATCACATTATTCGAGCATTTGTCGCGTTAGTTTTACTGTGTGATATAGAATTGCACTTCAGCCCTCTACGTGACATATTCAGTGCACTAAATAATGTTGTTTTCACGGTCTTGTAGTTTCGGTCTGGCCTATTCAACGACTTGTTGTACTTGTAGAGATTGATTTGAGTTTTGAGGTGTAAGAAACAGTTTAGCTTAGACCATGTCGAGAGGATCGGGGAGGAGAGGGAAATTTGTCAAATCTTCGACAATAGAATTTCCTACAATTACTGAATCCGCCAGGAGGAACCTCGCTCTGAAGGAAGCTCGCTTCAAGCTGCTGACTAAAAGGATGTGTAGAGTTAACCACCTTATTGCTACTGAGAGTCTTCTTCATGAGAACGAAGGTTTGTGTTTTGGCGTTCTATAAAATTAGATACAACCGAATGACTTATTATAGTCATATAATTTTTATAATTAAAGAATGTTTGAAAACAATAACTGTTCGAATGTGAAATTATGATTATGATGCTAATTTCATTGATTGATAGAATGGCAGGATAAATTTCTTGGCAGGCCAGGTTGCAGCTTAGATTATGCTGAAAAAATTAATTTCCTCTTTTGCCAGAGATTACATGCGGCTTGTCAGATATTAACACCACTAATAAAAATGTTTTCCGCTAGATAAAAATGTGGAGCAAGAGGTGGTAAATGTGGTGATGGATAGACTCCCGGAGTTCCACGCCAGACGGACTCACCGGTACATTGAGAAGGTTCACAAACTAGTCAAACTCAACACTTACATCTTGGCTGAACAGGTAATGTATAATGTTTGGGCTGGGCTGTTTGTTTATGTAAGAAATCACATTTTTTAATTTATTCCAACATTTATAATCCTAAATTTCTTAAGAAATTCTAAATTTTATTAACCACACAATCCTCAATCATGTTGTGGTTTATTTATGCTTTAATTCAAATAAATCGTTTGTGGTATGGCATGTTTAAACTTACAAGCGCTCGACGTCATGTTTTCCTGAGAAATTCCATACGCATTAACATTATTTAAATCTACAATATGTTTAGAATTTGAAGTTAAACAGTATCTTAGAACAAACTGTTTAACCTAAAATTCCGAATATATTTTAGATTTAAATAACGTTAATTCTAAAACATATGTAATCTAATCCCGCTCTAGGTACGAGTCTTCCAGCAAATACGGGACTGTGATCTGAGTATGACCCTCCGGTTCCCTTATCCGATAGTGCAGGCTGAAGAGGAGAATAGGTTCCTCGGTGAGGCCGAACCAAGATTGGACAACATTAAAAGGAAAAAGATTCAGAATAGTACTAATATCACTTCTCGGCGCTCCTTAGTTAAGGTTACTGTTTATGTTGTTTACATTTCCTCGGTTTGATTTATATATTTACCTACCCATATAAATATTGGTTAGTGAATAGCATCGGTTTACTAATTTTTGTTCAATATATTGTTCAAATCTTGAAAAGTTGGAAGACCGAAATTTATAATTTATACAATAAATGAACTGACGAAGTAGTAAATGTTTTGTTAAACGGTTTGTTGATAAGTGTACTTTACAATTACATTATATTATTTATATTTTTAAATTTATTAATTTTTTTAATAATATTTTTATAATATTATTATTATGTAATAATATTTTATTGATATTTTAAATTTGAAATGGAATAAAATGAGGTATCTATATCCCGCTCACATGATTAACCAACAACACAAGGAAGGTGGTTAACCATGTCAGAGCGGCTGACTGTGAGTGATGTGAGCAAATGTGTAAAACTAAAAGTGAACAAAGTATAACTCATCATAAGGCAAAGACAAAATTAAATTATTAATATTATAAATTACAGATGCAGTTTCCAAGTTCTATGGACGCAGTATTGACTACGAAGACTTTTGCCACTAACACGTCTGGTGGACACAAGCTGTGGAGGAACCCTGCCCTTGATGGGATACCAGTAGAATCTAAGGCTGAGGTAGTTTGTTTATTGCAAGTGCAACACCAATACATTAATTATAATTGATGATAATATCCAATTGCCACCAGACAAGAATCGTTTCATAGCATCCTAATATGATTAATCATTGACTTATTTTCAGCCGATGTCCTACGCTCTAGTCTTGGACTGCAACGCCCTACGTCCACACCAAGACGTCTCCCTACCCATGGCTAAACTCAACCCACACAAAATAATACCGTCAATAAACCCTAAAACTCTGGACGTAGCTAGCTCAAAACCCAGCTCCGCTAGTTTTACTCTTCCACCTGTAGTTGAGAACTACTCGTCGGTTGATAGCGGGATAGGATCATCTAACTGTGTTTTAGACCCTGCAAAGTACATGTGAACCTTACGGTACTACAGTTTGTTATCATGATGGTGGTGAGGAGGGGATGTGTTGCCATGGTGATTTGGAATGGTTTCGAAAGTGCAGCTGTGCTCGCTTTTCTAGTTCCCACAGTAGAGCTGTTGTTATCGAGAGATCTGGAGGGACTATTGAATTACAGTGTCCACTCAAGACTTGATAATACCTGATTTTGTATATATTTTATTCATTTATTTATTTCCAGTTGTTATTTGATTAATTTTCTTGTTTCTCATGTAAGGACACCAATGATGACTTGCTCAGACGCATAACGAAATGTCATTTATATTCAAAGCGGGTTTTGCAGTCAATTTCGATTCAAGGGGTACACAGTGATATATAATCTTTTTAAAGTTAAAAAATAAAAATGATCTTAAACGCATGGAAAAGATCTTCAACATGGCGATACACTCACATATATAAATTAAACCGCTGAAAATAGTTCCAACCCTTCAAAAATTAAATTTGTTTAAATCGCCTCTGGTCAAAATTATCTGTTCTGAGAATAACATACAAAAAAATACTCTTTAAAAATCATCCGACAAATTACGATGGCTACCGTTTTGTTTCTATTGAACGATTATCAGGTAAATGGTAAAATAATATCTCTGTCACAAATACACGCATAACCTACCTACTAGACAGTATCCAGATAGTATCTAGAATATAGATACTATCTAGATAGGACCTAGATCCTATTTTCCATACAGTTAGACAAGCACAAAATAACGAGCTTCCATTATCGTTCACATACCATTTCCTAGGCTTTCTACAAAATACATCCCTTCTTTAAGTCCCATACCGGAGTAATATCTGACAAGACTGAAACCGCCTTACGTCATCACGTCACATTGTTTGGTATTACGTCATCATACCACTGTGACGTCATCATACTACTATGACGTCACCATACCACTGTGACGTCATCACACCACTCACTAAATCACTTTGTCAGTACAACAGCTCTCGCTCGCCCTTCAGTTTCATGAGGAATTGTAGGGAAATACTGTAGGCGGGTAACATAGCCGCATTGGTTGGGAAAGCTCTCATCAAGGTAGCTGATACTCCTCTGTACAGTCCTGATTAAATGTTAAGGTAAATTAGTAGATTAGTTTTTGGGAGGCTACAATATTTCTTTACAGCGAAAGTCAAAACAAGCTGGAACAGTAGTAAATGTTGTGAGATCCTGGCTTTTATTCAGGACTGAAAAGTCACATACCAGCCCATCCAGTCTTGGCTTTCATGCACTTGAAACAAGCGTAAGAGCTGGTATACTCTCTGGGCCCGTTCATTCCATCAATCTGTATCCTACTCTTAACTACGTCTATCTGAAATGTAGTGTGTTAAGATCAAGAGTCATCAAGTTGCTGGTCAAGGGCAAATCATATTTTCCATTGATGATAATACCAAATTGCCATTTTTAACAAGAATTTCGCCGCGGTTAAACCACGCACGATCAATTTTCCCTACGATGTACTTGTACCATTAACTCATTGATTCTTTAGAGTGAAAAGTATGACTGGAAAAAGTGCACCATATTTACAATTTACATACTATGTTTTTTATAAAAGTATAAATGAGTGGGATTCGTGCATGGCAAAAATTGACGATTTATTTGACCAACGCAGCGCTGCGCATCAACAATAAATGAATCCAGAAAACCGCGGAAAATAACTTTGCGAAGGAGGAATTTCACTGTAATTAATTAACTCATGGCTAGCGTCGCGCACAGCATAACAGACGCTTCCTATACACATAATTATAGGGGAGTGGTCTATATTGCGAAGGAGTAGACTTTTGTCATCATCGCAGGTCCATCGGGCCACCTCATATATCCAAACCCGATTACTTATTCCCTACGATCTTTTTGCCTTCGGCAAGAGTAGGGAAAAAAATCATCTATTTTGTGTATTTTTAGTGTTACGTACCGGATAGTTGATACCCCAGGACAACATTCCACTTATTCCCCCGGCTAGAACCATGTGCATAGAAGTCAGCTCGTCTATTCTTTTGTTAGGGCCTCTAAACCACTGTATCATCCATTCGTACCTGAAACATGAGTAGAATAAGTTCATGTTCATAACTTAACTTCAAAAATAGTGAGCAATGCTTTAATTAATAGTACTTTGAGTACAAGGACCTCCCATTAGAAATGCTAAAAATTCCCTTGTAGGAAGAAAATCCTCCTTGAAGTTGATCAACTATACAAAGCTTGTACTGACGTTGCAAAGTAGAAACCAGATGATACAAGTTCTCTGCTCACAGTTATACCCAAACCCCTCCTCATTCCATTGATTCCCTCCGTTTTTAATATATGTCTAATCACCTCCACGTTGCCTAGTTTCTTTTCTGTAAAGAATTCACCAGTTAATTGAGTAACGCTGTTAGGAAGATATACAAGAAAAAAGTATCGTCATTCCTTGTTGGAAATATATTTTAATTGAACCATACCATCATATATTATCAAATTATTATTATGCATATAAAAAGTACGCTACAGAAGATCGATAAGTACCTTGCACGGAACTTACTTGATTTTGTTCCGGCAACTTGTAGTCTGCACTTTATGAGCTCTGTAGGACCGCTGATAAAGCCCGCGAGGAGACCAGACACTGATCCTGCTATGTAGGTACTCCTGGGGAATCAAATAATTAACATTAACAAGGTGTAAGGTATGTGAACTGTCAAGTTAACCATAAAGCAGTTCCTCTAATTGAAATGCTTTTAAGTTACTATACTCAATCCACGGATTTTCTCGTACGATTTAAAGCTAATCTGACTAACCGAAACGGCCCAAAGTCAATTATAATCCTGGATTTCAATGAAACTGAAACTTACGATATTTTAGGAGTCTCCATGTCCGTGTCAACATATGATAGTACCCCAGTGTAACACCCAAAGAAAACAGCGTTCATTGCACTGACACTGGCCATCGGAGCCAACATACCCTTGTACAATGTCCGAACCTGAAGGAGAAATTGTCGTACAATATAAGTCGTACAATGATTAATGAGTAAATGGTGGTATTTTTTAGCTATAGGACTTGTGAAATAAACTTGTGGATGTTGATCAGAAGTGATATTTTAAAAACCCGGAAATAATTGATAAGATATTGAAAACTCACCCCTTCCTCCGTGATAATCTTTGTAATACAGTGAGTGAACCCATTGTATCTCTGGGATGTCTGAAGTCTGACCTAAAACCGAAAGTAAGATTAAAGCAGGGTCACAACTCACAGTGCAAAAACCAATAAAAACCGCAATATTGGTTTAATTTTTAACTAATACGATGAGCGAACTTAAGTTTACGTATATTTTTGGCTCGACCTGCATTGATTATTAGGGGTGTGTATTTAGAATAAATTATGTTAGGAGGATGTGATAAAATCATGTGAAATTGGAGAGTTCAAGGTGATGGCTGTTATTTTAAGACATCTGTGAGTGTACATTATATTGTTTTGCGCCCGCGACGCGCGCAAATCGGCTACAGTGAGTGCTTTTACAAAACTTTGTTCAACAAATTTATCTTAGCGCAGTCCATTTATCGTGAAACTTTTGTAACTATATTTCTATATAAGTATATAGTAGGTAAACACGCCTACTCATTCGATATGCAGAAATGATACTTTCATGGTATTTCAGGGGGCGACATTCTTACAACTATTAGAATAAACATTGTTAATCATATCATCGCATAGTAATTAGTAGATGGCGTCTGTCTAATAATAAATACTGCATATCAATTAATCTGGTAACAAAAGCCTCTCAAGTCATAACAGTATGAGTGCAAGTATGCCGGCCGTATCAATAGTACGGAAACAAAAGAACACGTACGGTAGAAATCGTTGCCAGAGTAATTCAACATAGTGTTCAGTGATGAGCTCCATACTGAACACTACAATGTTAAAAACCCACGCTCAGCCTTACGAAATCTTGGATAATTCAAGTCACACACGAATCGTAATTTCATCACCTCTTTCATTACCCGAATTCAGAGTAATTATTCCCATCCCAAATCTAATGAACTTTCGCCCGAGTTGTGTCCGGAAAAACCGCATCAGTAATTCTTAGAGACCGAGTAGATATGTAATTTCTAAAGTTCTAATAATCATTTTAACTAATGACTTCACATCAGAGGTCGCTATGTTTCACTTTGTTGGTTCGAAAAAAAAGAAAGGGAAAAGCTCTTTGATATGCTGATATGCAATCCATATTCGGTAAACAGACGAAAAATGATCTTATAATATATCCAAATTAACATGAACGCTTAACATTATTCACTTCCAGTGAAACTCTAACTACGTTAAAAGTGATGTAATTCATATGGTGGCGCCGCCCCGTCTGCTTTAAAGTAATTACAGGAAACAAAATGTCCAACAAGTCTACCCTATTCATCGAATTGATTCAAGTTTTGGTTAGAAGAGGAAAATACCTTTTCTAATATTTTGTTGTCACATTCTAAGGAAAAGAATATTACACAGTGGGAAAGCCCCTGATTGGACGCAGCAACTCTTAGTTACTGTTTATCTAAGTAATCTAAGTAAACATTATCTAAATATTTGGTACAAAGAATGCTTGTAAATCACATACGGCCGTTTAATATGTGGCTTTTTCAACCTTTGATCTTCATATATTTATATCTTTATATGTGTAGAGGTTGGTGTTAACCGGGATCTTGAGGACTAGTCAGGTACTTATTTAGACGTCTGATTCAAAGTGAAACGCGTTATATTAGTTCGATTTCTTAAAAGATACAGTCAGCAAAGGTTTTTTTAGAATATGGGAACTAAAATCAAGTTCATTTGTATCTTACAAATCGGATAAGTCAGACATATTTACAATTGTAGCCACGGACGGCTATGGAGGTGAAAGTAGTGTCATGTGAGTCGTGTTTCTCAATTGTGATTGGTTGATGTTAAGGTAGTGTTAGGACGGTGAAAGGTGAAGGTAGTTACTTAAGGTTTCTGAGAATGAATTCGTGAGGGAGGCCATATTACTAAATGGTATGAAGTCAAGGTGCCGAGAATTGTGGAAAATACTTTGTGAAATTAGTTTGAGTTTAGCTAGAGCCGTCCGGGAATAAAACATGAAATATTAGTATCATAATAATCAGTAAAGTTGTATACTGTACTAAGTTTAAACGTGGAAAGCATCATGGAAAATATTTCAACATATTACATCATCATCAGTGCATGGAGGAACCCAAAATGACATACCAATAAAGAATACATCTTTCCAAACCAATAATAAAATCTCGTTCTCAGTCAAAGCTTCAGGCCTTTGAAAACCTCTGGTTTCTTCCCGAATCTGCAAACAATATTTGATATTTCCCGAGAAAATTCCTGCAGACCTTTTTACAATGCTCCTCTGAATCCAGAAATTCCAGAAATACCCTTTCGAGCGGTATAAAGTATACACGTGTCATATGATGACCCAGTCACTCTAACTAAACCTCATCAAATCAACTTGCAAGTAGACTTATAATCCCGCAGTGCTTAAGTCATAACTGTAATATTGTTTCTGGGTGTAACAAAGAATTTTCCAGGAAATTATATCAACTTATCCGCTCATAAATAATAATAATAAAATCAATGCTGGGCAACTTCATCTTGTTAGTGTCTTAAAATCTGATAATAAGGTGATCTGAGATGTCTGATTTCCGGAGAAACAATCAAGGGTGAACCTGATATCTAAACTGTTCGGTAAAACAAATCAAGTCATACTACAGCACTGACAATTGATTGGACATTTTACCAAAGCAAGATAGTTTACAATTGCATTTGGATACAATATTGAACAGAGATGCGGAAGTCGGAACATCTATATTTAGATAATGGTGAGGTTTCTTGTTCGTGACCAAGGCCAACGAAGAATACGGTCTCACCTCTATGACTTCATGGTCCGGGCTCGGCTAACCTGCACCTAATCGGCTAATTGATGAAACATTTTTGCAGTTATGTGCATGATCCTACAATTATTTTTCACACCTAGAAATTTAAATTTTGTCTGAATAAGGCGAGATTGTACTTGAAAACAGCATTACTGTGCTCCCTATGATAGTGGGGTGTGTTCAAAGCCGCTCCAAAAGAAGAAACAGTTATTTCTTTAATTATATGGTTATCTTATTTATCGACATGACCAAAAAATCACGTACGAATATTTTCACATGGGCAAACAAGTTCATAGTGAGTTGTCATTGAATGTTTAAAAGCGACCGACATATACCCTAAATGTTGGTTCAATGCCAAATTGTTTCCGGTTTAGCAGTTACCACTGCATTAAAGCGGCAGTAAACCCCGCACTTCAAATGATGAATAACTAATAAACAAACTATAAAGTTACTTTACGTTCTCTATTACCTTTGTATGTGACACGATATAAGGCTGGAAATTTTTCAAGACATTTGCATACTTGGGCGAGGTTATAAGCTATCGCATTTATTTCTAAAACTTTTTCCATTGTGAAAGAATAACGTTAAAACATAAAACACATCTTGATATGTTTTTACGTTGATCAAGCGTATTTCATAATAAATCTTTCGGTTATAGCGTATCGAATTCTCAAAAGGATGGGATTTAATGAAATCTTCTGATGATCGACGTCACAGAAGTTCGCTGTAAACTGCATTATGTTAAATTTTGAGGACGTCATGCTATCTCTAAAATCAGTGGAAATTTAAAGGCACATAACATGTAATGACGTATTCCAAGATTACTTCAAAGCGACGAAGCTCATCCGGACCAAGATAGAACGAAAATTACTTACATTTTGAACCATCATATTTCTACTAATTGTCCAAATAATCACCGGTGATCATACTTGAGAATTACCTAATAGGGGCCAGACATATGTAACTTAATATTACCCTTTACCATTTAATTCTCCTCGAGATACTTCATCAAGAACACATTTTTGTGTTTGTGATTGTGTTTGTGTTTGTACACAATGTCACACTCAATGTCACACATAATGTCACATACAATGTCACACACAATGTCACACACACAATGTCACACACAATGTCATACACAATGTCACACGTAATGTCACACTCAGACATTAGGTGACTTGGCAGACCAAGGTGATCTGATTCTGTGCGAGTTCCGGAAACTATGATTAGTTTTGTGTTTGATATTTAATGAAGAGTCCAGAAATAATTCAATTTTTTTCCCTGCAAGTTTAAGAAATATTCCGTCAACACAGCAGCTCTGTGAATAGAGTTATTGTTCAGAAAACAGAGCAGTTTTCCATTTAATATTGGTTATTTAGCAGTAATTCAATACTCCTTTAAATAAACAAAGTGAAATTTCTCTGCATGAAACTGAATATCCAACAGATCAGGTATTTTATACTGATTTGTTAGGTAAGTTATGTGCCGAACATCAAATATAGATATCCTTAGCATACAGAAAATGCAGACCACGTACCAACTCTGATAGCTGTACGTGTTGTACGAAAACTTTTTAAATCCTAATGGAATTCAAAACTCAAAGGGAGATTTTGTTCAAAGGTGAACTACACAGCCAGTACACGACCAGTATACGACCAGTATACGACCCATATACGACCAGTATATGGCCACTGAATATGGCCACTAGATATGGCCACTATACGGCCACTTACGTTCATATATTTTAAATTCAGAAACTTTTTACGTGTACCCAGTGCTATAGCTAAGTTTTGCATAATTTCATTTTGGAGAACATTCGATTGAAAACATTACATTTCAGATTTGATTTATGGAGAGATTAAACTTCAAATAAGCTGTCTTTACAATTTAAAGGTATCATGTTAACGAGACAGATCTCTTGTCGAAGGGCTCTAGAAATTAAATAGGGTTACACTCTATCTGCATAGTTTACAATTACATATACTCAAACACTGATTCAACCTGAAAATACTCAGTCACTCAGTCTGGGGCACTTTGAACAGAGGAACCTCTTGGCCTTATCTTGGCCATATAGAGGCTGAAACCTAATCTCATAATTTCCCGAATATTTAATAATGATCTGCTCATGATGTGAAAGAGACTAGAAATGTTTTTTGAACTGAAGGGAAACATGTAGATTGTAGAAGTAGGAGAATATGCTGCCAGAGAATATGCTGCCAGAGAATATGCTGACAGAGAATATGCTGCCAGAGAATATGCTGCCAGAGAATATGCTGCCAGAGAATATGCTGACAGAGAATATGCTGC